TCTTTACTGCAGAAATAATGGATCTCTGAAATATGAAAAAGACCATGCTACTGTTCAAAAGAATTCTCGAAGCATTTGTCTTCCCGTGGGTTTGTTCAATATTCATTAACTGATGACATACAAATAGAAGGTAAGTTTGAATTTTATTGTTTATGTCCTTTTATGCAGTATTCTATAGTAAGTTTTGGCGAGATGTAAGCAAGATGATGAGATTTTTCTTCAGGTTTATGAGAGAAATTTCACTGGGCTGTTGAATGAAAGGGTTGTTGAATTTCCCATTTCAAAAATATTTACCATTTTAAAATGTCTTATTAGGCGCAGACTTTGATGTTTCTTTCTGAAAATTTATTTTGAAATCCCAAGAACTGTTGAACCTTGTATTTCAATATTCCAATAAAATAGGAACATTTATCAAGGGTTTAAATTCTTGATCTACCAATTTTTGCAGATCTAGCTTTCTAAAATTGTCTGCTAATCCCGCAGAAATTGTCAATTAGACTTGTGTTTTTGCAGCTCTATTCAATGTTTTTTTCCAAATCACATTTACTCTTTATAAATGAGAGCTTAAACATGTCTACTTTAAAGATGCTCCCTCTATAACACAAGAAATGTTCATCTTAGATTTAAAGTAACCGTTAATTTTGAAAAGGAATTTTCTACATAAATTATGACATTTGCCGATTCATTCGGCACTTGTCAATCATGTGGATGATGAACATCACTTTTATATCAGATGATATTGATAACACTAAGCTCAGCAGTCTAGTACTGTCATGACAATCATCACAGAAAGTTAAAAGAGGCGCTCCAAGCTCAAAATGAATTAATTAATTTTATCATTGATCGTTATTGTTTTGGTAGAAATTAGCTTTGATATCATGAGAGAAAAACAGCGGCGCGCAGGCAGAACCGACAAGCAATAGAATCCTTTGGGAGGTTTGTTTATCAAAACTAGAATCTGTTTAGTCTGCATTCGATTGCTCTGAACGGGAATTTAGGATATCCAAGTTGTTCAATAGTACATGAAAACTGGATTAGGCAAGGAAAAAGGAAAGCTTTTGAAGGCGACAAATCACGCCTTTGTACTCGTATTACATCTGCAGTATTTAAGTCCATTAGCTTGGAGCTACAGAGAAATCTGTAAAGCTACCGACAAAAGAAATAATGATAATTGGCGACTTGATTGCAAGCACCTCAAGTTAGGTGGATTTGCAAGGGTCAACGCAATTGAAAACGGCCTAGCTTCATTAAGTATCAAGGCTAATTCTCCGTTTAAACGTATCAACACATTGCTTACCAAAATAATTTTAGGAGATTGTGAAAAATTATTCACACTATTGCATCAAATCTCGCTTGCTAATTATGGATTACATGATTGGTAGTTATCCGATGTAGAGATCAACTTGCCTGCTTTCTATGGACGTGCGACTAAGCTAGAATTAAAAGGTTAAACCCGTGTTCAAGTTGTCGCATCCCATTTTGTCTGAACCAAATTTGAATGCAAATTAACTGTGATTTTTCTTTGGGAAAATTCAATTCCCCAACTGTTTCTGCATCGGATTTCCCAACTAACACGCCCAGTAGCTTTCGCCTCTTCTTTTTAGAAGACGCCAAAGAACAGTTTAAATAAACAGTTGATTCATTCCCTCAACTAAATTCATTAATCACGAAAAACGCTGAGAATTTACGATATGGTCTTTCAAAGTTTATATCTGTAGGAATAGGTCACTAAAGCTGGTGAAATGTTTAATTTCGTCAGGAATAGATGGAATCGAACGGTACAAAAATACCTGTGCTTCTACGTCATGCAGACGGTTGCTATTTGAAGCTCATTTTAAAGTGCGTTACATCATATTTAAGTGTTAACCGTAAATCTTAATGCCGTGTTATAACATTAAGTCATATCGAATGAAAGGTGGTATTGACGTTCCATTCGCCCATTTTTTTAAACTAAGGTGATTTAGGGCGAATAATGAAAAAATAAGAAGTTATGAGCCAAGTGACACGGCTAATCGATCGCTGAATCCAAGAGTCAAGAATTTTTATGAACTTATAGTTCTAAATTTTTAGAAATGCTTCAAAAATTAGTTCCTTAAGAAAAAATTTAAATATTTTCATTGATTTAGACGTTTTTGTGAGTATGGCTGCTTGTCTAAATTATATGTGTGTCATGATTTTCTCTTAAATATCTTATTTCTATTCCCTTTTCAAAGGTCTTATTTCAGTTCCAATCAACTCAATTTTATTGTAACGAGTTATGTTTGTTTATATTAAAAGCAAAGGTAGCTCATGCAGACTAAAATGTGCTTCTTTATCCTTTGCGGGAATATCTAAAAAGATTTTTGTTACAACTTCTACCTCGAGAATGTTCATTTTGAATGGTAATTTTGCGGTCTTGTAACTCAAATCCTTCTTCAAACCTTGTGCACTGTCAATACAATTTTGAAAAGCTAATTTTCTGTCCGCGAGGGATGCTCTTGCTTTCTTGCCTGAGTATACAGTCAATTTGATTACAAAAATCGTATGCAACTAATTTTTTTTTTGAAATACAGTCTTTATTGTCGGATTTATATTTTAGATATAATTCTCAGACCAACGAGAAAGATACAAAATTCTATGGAACATTAGTAATAGTAAAATGAAGGGGGGATTTAGTTGTTCTGCAAGGATAATTGTTTTCGCTTTCGTAACCTTTGTAGAGTGGTATCACAGAATTTAGATACTGGTTGTTCTGCATCATATCATGTCGTGCAACTTCGTAACATCCAATGGAAAGGTAAAATATAAGCAAACATTGCTTAAGAGATGATTAATATTTAAAAGAATCTCTGATAAAGTTGTTGTTAAAAATCGTCCAAAAACAAATTGGAAGTTCCTCTCTATATTCAAGTTTCCAGCTGCTTTGGCCTAGGACATAGCATACTTGTATGCAAAAGGTCCGCAAGAAATCTTGTCGCCATGTCTATACAATGACGTCGCAAATAACGCAATCAGCTGATGCTTATGTAACATTATCATCGTGAATAGATCAATAATTTAATTGTGTTCAAAGCAATAAATTGTTTGGCATATATTTCAATGAAGTCGAGCTTATTAATTGCCACCCGCGCAATACGTTTCTGCTGTTTTTTCTAACTTTTCTTCACTTTCGTTTGACGACTAACCTATTACTGCTCGAAGACCTGGGGCCACACAAAACGTTCAACTATTTTTGCATTCCTTTCGAACATTTTCGCGTAATTTTCTATTGAAAACAGAGTCATCGACGCATTTTCTGGGCTCCATGAGTCGGCCATCAACGTTGATGACTCTAGAATTGGACGAGTAACCTTGGCAGCATGCGATGCTCGAATTGGTTTGCAGATGGATCGTTGTTTATTAAATCATTATTTCACTGCAAACATCATCATGTACAAGGAGGCTTGTTATGAAAAACAAACGGCGTGATGCATCCAGGGTTTAGGGATATGCGCTGCAGTTTTTGAAGTTAAAAAATACACTTGGAAAAATTCCGTTAAGTGGAACATTTTTCTCTTTTTATCATTGAGATGTTTCCTAACGAATATCTATAGTAACAGACATAAGGCTGATTTCCTCGAGGTGAATTTTGCACCGAATTCGCTACGAATTCGTTTCAAAGGTCTCTTTTGGTTTCCATTAGAGAGCGAATTATCTGCGAAATTCTATTGGGATGTTACCCAAAACTAAAAGTTAAGGCGCTGATTTTCAGGACATCACGCATTGCGAATGTTTATAGAATGTTTTTTTATAAATCAAGCAAATTTACCATGCAATGATTGGCTGTCAGCTGATGCGAAATATTTCGCCGCAAAAAAGTAGAACTCTTTTCTACCTTCTTGCGAATTTGTTGCGAAATCAAAAATAAAAACTGCGCATGCCTCGATTTCTTCGCCAGCGATTTTCGCCTCATGGAAGTCAACCTTAATGATTTTGTTCCAAAGTTTATTCCTGCTGTCAAAGTCCTGTACGAGTTATTTCCGGACAGCGGCCGTCTCATACAACGGACAGCTACGCTAGTTCCTCCGGTTTCCCTTCAATGAAGATTTCACTGTATTGCCAAAAAGATTTTCCATTCTTCAAATTTCTTTAGGAAGCGTATTGGCAAGCGTTTCACAGGAAAGTAGGGAGCAACAATTACTATTGAAGCACGTTTATTGGAGGATTAAGCTCCTTGCCAAGACGTAGAAGCAAATCATTAAAAGCGATCTATGAAAAGTTTAAAGTTAGAGTAATGTTGGGAGAATGGTAAAGAAGCAAACAAGAATACTTTTTGGCCTATTTTCCTGTTTGCATTGGATGAATATCTTCCTAGGCACGATTTAGAAAGCTTCAGCGATTCTTTATCTTATCTGATTCTAAAATACAATGTTTTGAAAGATGAAATAATAGAGAGGAAAGAAATCTTGGCACATCAATTTTTTTATTAGATGTTGGCTTTTTTCCAGTTTGTTGCAGAAGCGACACAAATTAGATAATTCTATGGTAAGCCCGTGTATTGGTTGTTCCTCATTCAGACACTACAAATAGACCATCACTGATAACATCTAGAATCTGTTGTAAAGCTAATAAAAGACAATGAGCAACGAGACATAACGGGTAGGTACAACTCCAGACAAAACGCACAGGAGCACTATGTAATTTGCTTCCTATACACTGTATCTACTTTGAATTGATTTTATTGCTTTATTGTCGGAATATCAATTTATATGGATTACAGAAGCATTTTTCTTATCTCTTGTCGACTTCACTTTTCAAATTTAAGCCCTCTAATTGCGAAAAACAAGTCTCCGCAATGGAATTAAACTGTATTGAAATTAATTCCCAAAAGAGAGATGCAAATTAGTCCATCCAAATGCGCCATCTTTGACGTTTATTGTATTGTCAAGGCAACAAAAGATCTCGTGAAAACGCTGCCTCTCGTGAAACTTGCTGAGCTGGCTCCATAAGCTCTGCAAGTGCTCTAAAAGTACTGTGTTCGAGAAAGGTCCACTCGACATGGAATTTATTCGATTCTCCTGGAATCAAAATCGCAACTGATTAGTACCAGGAGATCACAAACACGACATCGACTTGTTTATACGAGTACTGCGTAGGAACGCAGGCTCATAAATGACCACACAGTCATAGCCCTTGAACAAGAAAGACCTTATTGAATCGGTAGACTTGATCATGGGAGATTCCTTTGTTTTGTCTTTGAAAACAGTACACAATAAATACGACAGAGAGGCGATGTCGGCAGCATGGGATGGGAGTAGGTTCAATTAGATCTTCTCTCTCTGTTACGCCGCTTCATTGTCTTTGTATTGTTCGGCCAATGAAATCTTTGCCGTTTGAGTAACTGTCTTAAACAGTGGGACACACAATTTGATGAAATGATGCTGCATAGCTCTTTTAACCGCGGCCCTTTTGTGAACTTAATTGCCATATATCAGAATATATCGTAGCATTCGACGATCAAGGACTCGCCGCTGACCGTCTGGTCGTACACATCTGGAGTGAAAAGGTCGTGGTAAAATTAAGAGAAAATCATAAAAATTGGTGAGTGACACCACTTGATTCTCAGTATGTTGTAGACGGAACAGAGAGCACTAAATGGGGAGTTTGATGTATCTTCTTGGGTTGCTAGTAAGATTAGCACGGATTAGTAATCTTAAAAGAATCAATCTTAGCGCTTTTTAAGCTGGTAAGAACTTCAATTCCATCACAGATAAATTTATCTATTGTATAACCATAGCTTATGCTACAATCTCTTGTGCCTGTGTGATTCGAGTTTAATGATTTATCTTAGCAACAAAATTATTAGCAAGAAACCGATAGTAAATCTTCTTTAGTGAGCACTGTTAACACTGTTAAGATGATACTGCCTATAATTTCGTCTGATATTGGCTACAGAATGGTCTCCAGGAACCTCCAATGCAGCTGCACTACATCTGTGTTCACGATAAGCTCTCTCTCTATTAATAAGTAGATTTTTTGTTGCATTAAGAAACATAGCATTCAGAACGAGGAACAATTATTATGCCAAAAGTTAATACCGTAACCCAATGCCTCGATTGCTGAATGACGTAGACTGAAAATGAATGTTTTTCTCACAGAAATATTGATCTGTTTTCCTTCTAAAAGTGTATGATAAATGTCTTTTTAGATTTTTGCCAACTTTGACTACCATCTAAAATCGTCCGATTTTAAAAAGTTTTTGCTGAAATATTTTTCTCTTCTTAACCACGTTTCACATTTCTCCAGTCTATCGGAATTGTTAGACATCGTCAAAGAGTTTTACATCATAGCGATGATAATTAAGTTATGCTTGTAAATGGAATACTAATTTGTTGCGGGATAAGACGTCATTTCATGCAAAATTTTCTATATTTTTTAGATTTATTAGTTGAATTGTATGTATGCCTGAACAGATGCGGCGTTTATGGGTGCACTGAAAAATTATTTCTTTTTGCATGAGTTACAGAACACTGAAACGCTTTATTGTATTTATATTGTTCATGGTAGTGTCACTGCTTTACTTGTAAAATTGAAATAAAGTTGACTCATCCCAAAAAGGATTGTTGTCAGGATAGTATTCTGTCTGGAAAAGTGCTTGACTGGAAAAGACTAATGGCTTGTTGTTGCCAAATTGTCTGTTTGTTTTCGCGGAATCTTTTCAATAATTTAAGCCTGGTTACAACTAATCAATCCATTTGTATTTTGTAACTTAACTTCCAAGTATTAGACCCAAAGAAGCACCAAAAGCACTCTCCGCATAGCAAATTCATTCCTTTCGTGTAGTGCTTGCAAAGGGGACTTGGCTTCTGACAGGCGTGGGTTTTCATCAGCTTTCACTTGGACTGGCATGAAAAGGCACAAGCTCGCAATAAAAACGTTTTTCCGTGCGATTGTTTGAGTGTTTTGAACGGCCGTTTTATTTCCGTCTTTTCCAACTGTCAAGGTGTATATTTGATGTTTAATTTCTAAAATGCAATCAACTTAAAAATCAAGTGTACAAAAATAACGTTTTATCCACATGATAATCAATTGCTATCAAAATATAAAACAGCCTGAAAAATTCTTGATCTATCTTCATGGCAAGAAAAGCATCATTTATTATTCTCCATTTTTGTGTTTATTTTCATCTTTTGCTAGAGAGTTGAAATATTAGTCAGCCATTCTTCGAGTTTAGGCAGCCAAGAAGACTTCCGAGCTTTAAACACCCTCAGTAGCACGTCACATCAATGTGAGCGTGTACAATGTTACTTCTCTTTGCTCAAGAATGTGAAAATTTATCTATCAAGTATTTGTATACTTGCTATACAAAACGAGGAGCTATTTTGAAACATAGTAGACTTACAATACGAATAGCGGAGCTATTTTAAAACATAAAATATTTCTATTATATGCATGACATTGCCCGCAGACCTAGTGAATGGACATGTTTTATTTGTAAAAACTTGTGAAATGGAAGGTTTTCAATCAACCTTGAGAAAACAAAAACCATAACAGTTATTGAGCACTGATTTAAAAATAATCTTGAAGGTTTTTCTTGCAAATTTTGCAATATAAAAATTTTAAATGGCGAGAGCTACTTTGCCAAATCTGGCGCCTGATGATGCTTGAAATCTCCACTCTTATTGTTCAGAGCATAGCCGCCACCTACATAAGTGCTTTGTGCCCTTGGAAATTTTCAGGAGGGGGCTCGGCAATCCCCGACAACTCTTTAAAAAAGCCAAAAAGAAGAACAGTTTCTCCATATGAGAAGAGATAAACCAAAATTAGCTTTCAAAAGTCGAGATTTTGATCAAGATACTTTTCTAGTGTTCACTTGTCGAGATTGATTAAATTTTGTGCCACCTCATGTAGAATCAAAAGTTGCTGCCTATAATTCGTGGGAATGGCGCTGGCCAGACTTTTCTTAGAATAGGGCCTGGCTTCTTGAAACAAACAAAACAAGGCAAAACCTTTTGAATGTGCCATATTCAGGGGGATTTTTGTTGCCTCAAACCCATATGTTAAAGAGTTAAGCAAAACCCCTTTGTACATATCTGCAGAAAAGTGCAGGCAATCGCATAATTTAAAAGGGGAGGGCGTCAGTAAATTGAGTTTATTTTGAACTTTTGTAAAGGGACTGCTGCTGCCTTATTCTGTTTATTCCGTATTTGTTTCTATTCAGAAATGATGTATTATTTGCCAATGATTTTCCATGTTTTTGGTTTGATTTACTGTACTGACGTTCGGCACGCTCTAAAGTTTACAACCAGCCAAAGTCTTACTGCTCATACCATCAGAACAGCTCTTATCAAGATTTGTTGATAAGAAGAGGTCAGCTAAAGTTCAATGGAAAATTTGTTTGAATTGCTTTCAATTCGACTGATATGAGAGTATTTTATCCAAAATTTCTTTGGTACTTTAAACAAAATCCTTGTAACTTGATAAATGTCTCTTACACAGTTTGCGTAACTTGGCAATAAGCGGCAATTAAATGGGTGAGTGGATGAAAACCGATTTGATCGTAAAATTTCAGTGTAGGTGTCCAAAAACTTTGCCAAGGAGTACAAACCATTCTATGGTGCAGACTTATTGGCTCCTTAAACGGTTTATGTTTGCCAATCACCTTTTATAATGATATAAAATGGGAAATTTTATGCCTGTTAGAAGTAGTGATTTTGTACTCAGTGAAAACTCTTTTGCCATCTTTGGAGTGACTATGATCACCTGTCCCTTCTGTTATGCCAGCTCAAGTCTAAGACAGTCTGTATAGAACTCGTCTTGCAAACACGGCTTAAAATGCTCACCTCCGGGCTTTCTGTTTGCTTCTCATGTAAAACAACCTCAAATGTTTCAATAGAAACGCTTTTTTATAATTTGTCTGCAGGACAAACCTTCTAGTTCGAAGTTTCTCTGCTTCGAAGTTGGATGGATCTCTTGTACCTTTTCCCTGCTTGCTGATCATAAACAAAAATTGAAGTTCAAAATTAAGATCTTCAGTTACGTTAAGTTGTATATGATACAATTGAGCGAGGTTAGGTAGTTGTCGATATACGCAACCTGTTTGGTGACTCCATTAGTTGTGTTTGATTGTTTGCATCCCTAGTTGTTTGCTTGATCAATAGTAAAAGTGCTAATTTGGCTCATCTTCTCATCGGTTTATCTCATTGAGTTGTGTACCCGAGCGCATCAGAAAGATCTAAAAAAGACCCCTTTTCTCTGACTTATATGTGAACTTTTGATACTATTTTCACTGAAATATAAAACTAGTTGATGATAAACTTTGTAAAAAACAGCAAGTGAACAGGAGTTCCTGCTCTGCTACACTATGATTCTGTCACATTATTTATCTGAAACTGTACTCATTTAAGATTGCTGAAGTTTAGTAATGTGATTTATATTTTTATATGTTTATAGGCTTTTCTGGAAGGGTGATAAGTAGAAAAAAAACATTGTGAAACAAAAGTACCAAAATTTTTATGATTAAGTTGCAAGTGACCTCATACATAATTATGTCTTTTCTTTGCAATGTTGCATTGAATCGAATCAAACTGAGGATGTGCTTCTTCCAAAGAGTCTTGGTTGAATCTTGGCCTTGGTTGAAAAACACTTTTCCAAATTACAAAAAGTACTCCTTTTTCTGAGTTTCAATGTTCTAGTTTTGAGGAAAAAACAATTTTCTTAGAGGTTTTCCAGAAGAGCTTGGGTACACCTCTGAATGAGAGAGTGGACACGCCTGGTATACCCATGATTCCAGGGGTTTTGATTTTATAGATGGAATTTCATTGAATTGTTACAACTCACGAGTAACTTTTTCACAGATAAAAGGATTGCTGTTCTGGTTAAAAATTTTAAAGCTTTTCTTGGAAACAGCCGATAACCTTTAAATTATGAGTGTTTTCTTTTGTTTCTGGGGATTCTTATTGAAGGAATTTATTTATGGAATTGTAAAGCCGAACTTAATTAAAAACAATACTTTATCACCACTAAAACATTATCTAATGAAAAAGAAGCTAAAAGCACTGTAGAAATTAAAGAAGGACGTAATTTTGACCGAAACAACGAAAGGAAATGTCAAATTTTACCGTCTGCCAGACATTAGACTGCAAACCTTTTTTGAAAGGCATCGATTCACCAAAGTTGACAAACTTTCATTATCGTTTGTATCTGAGTGGACATTTTTGAAAAATGAAATTATTGAAAGAAAAGAAAATCACTCTACAATATGATGAAAAGTCCTCATTAATTAAGAAGTTTAACAAAAATGTTTGGTGAATTTTTGTCAAAGCAGTTCTTTTTATGATATTTAATTGTTGCTGTCATTTCAATTTCTTTCTGCGGTTGTGAGAATATATCGCCGTTTAATACTGATCATTGTATAAATTGCGCCTTATTTAAGATCACAAAAGATTTTTTGCCTTTTTTTAGTTTTTTTTGCAGTTTCATAGTTTTTTTATACGACGTTTTATTTAAAGTATGATGGAATTATTTCCAAGGTGGGGCACGGTATCCAATATCCTGAGTCGTAAGTGCTAAACCTCAAAAGCTATTTGATGGAAAATACAATGGGCAGTTTCAGGGTAGAAAGACCCGCGAGCTGACTACAAGAAGAGGCGGTTATTAGGGCAAAGGACTCTAGTCTCCTAATGCCCTAATTTTGTGCCCTAATGCCCCAACAGGACGGCTTTGCGGCAATTTTGGGAATATCAAACCTCAAGCTTATCAAAAATTTAAATCAAACTGCTTCCCTATGTGCTAATGATGCTTAGTTTGTATACCGTAAGGGACATCTTCCATAGTAAAGAGTAAGCCAATCTAACTAGCCAAAACTAACTAGCCACTTTAGTTAGCCAAAAATGACGCATTATCTTAACTTTTGAACCAGTTCCGTCGGAAAGAGATTCATTTTTGGGGGGGGGGACTGTCCATTGTTTTCCCTCTCATTCAGTATACCGTTATAAAGGAAACATACTACAGTTTGATAATTATTGAGGGGCTCCAGCCCCCCGGTTCCGATGGGCCTGTGAACAGCCACTTTCTACTTGTTTAGTGCTAAACATTAGTATGACACTTGATAACAGGAGTGTCTTAAACTATCATTTGAGAGGGTTTTTAAACAACGCTGCCTGACTTTGATAAACGTTTTGAAAATAACGTTTATTGTGATAAAATATCCATTTACAGAAATTAAGTCTCTGTTTTTCTATGTCGTCGTTAAGCTCTATCATACTTTGTTTTAGACATCTTTGGTTATGTTTTCAAACCTAAGCAAGAGTTTAGATAAAATAATACCTATTATGCAGTTATTGGTTTTCTGTACAAAAATTTGCAATCTAAGAAGCCCTCTTTCCAAGAGATTCACAAATACTAGTCATCAAGAAGGTGTTCAGCAGAGGTATTTCTGTGTTGAAGTCAAACCCGGTTCTCGATGTCTTTAACACAGATTAGTGTTTGCCTAATCCCACTCTGAAGTGGGCACTGTGAGCAAAGGAGCGTCATTTTCATTTTTAATACATTTCCAAAACTCTTCTGTGCAGTATATTTGTTTCTTCTTTTAAGCACTTTGAAGTGTATAGCAGCCGGTAAAGTGAATTTCTCCCATCTCATCCACCGACCCTCGTGTATCCCCCAACCCTACAGAATGACATATCTCTTTTTAGTTCGTATCAATGAAAATTGCGCGTCATACATTACTCTGGCCTGTTTACTGTTGGTTAAGTTGCCCTTCAGCTATTTTTCTTTGCTTTTACTTGAGAGTGGAGCCGCGTTTATATAACAAAAATATGTAAATACATGTTAGTGAATGGCTATAGAATATAAACATCATTATATTACGAAATCTCTTTTTGCATAAGGTCTCAACATACTTTCTTTATCGAGATAATTTTCATTTTCTCAGAAACGTCGTACAAATAACATGTCTGGAGTCTTCTGTCCCGTCATGCCTTTCGAGATACCCACGCTGACACCACAAGGGACTCCCTCTTCGATTTCTTCTGGATGCGGTAAGTCAAGTTTTAGAAAAACATTCTTGAAGGTGACCTATTCTTAGATTGTAAATACTTACTTAAAGCTCTCTAGTTATATATATTTATATATATTAAATCATTGTTGACTGTTCTATTTTGAAAAGAGTCAAAAAGAAGATGGGTATTTGCTTCTAATTTTTCGTATAGAAAAAGTCATGGCTTGCTTCTTTGGTAAGCCATAAATACATAACGCTACCTCTCTATACAGATTGAGATTGGTTCAAAGGTATTTTGATTCGCGAAAACTTACTTTTTCTTTTTGAGAAGTTTCTTTATTTAGAATATTTCAGAAATACCTGCAACTAAAGAAAGTGATACAGATAACTACAATGAAGGAGATAACATTTTCCTTTTTTAAAATGTTTTGATTTTTTCTGGAAACCGAAATCTCAAAATTAACACCGTAAACCATAATTGAAAAGATTTCTTAAGTAGCAATTTTGATATAATGTCAAATCAAATTATGACCAAATCAAAGTTGTCAAAAATAAGAATTACCGTCTTTGTATAATAGCTTGAATTTTGTCATGGCTGTCAAGTCTTAATTGGTCTTGCGGTGCTTAATATTGTTGTGTATGGATCATCAAGTTTTAGCCATTAATAATTGCCTCCAAGTGATCAGGAACATGTCAAGGAGACACTGAGGCAAGGAAATTCTAGAAAGTTTTAGATTAATGATTAATATATCTCGTTTCCTGAAGAACTTCAGTTAAACAATCTCATCAGTTTTAAACAATGATGAATGAATAGTGGTTGGATTTCAAATGTGAAAAAGGAATTTATGTTTTGGGATTTGGACGCGCTAAATTTTGAGGCAACGTATCTTTTGAATGTTATTACCTGACGTCCGTAAATATCAACCAAGAAAGTGTCCCAGGCAAGAAGAGAGTCTAGCTTCATTAACTTAAGTGTTCTGGGCACTAACTTTCAAGAGGTATTTTTCCATATAGTTGGTTGCCAGCCAAGGAGGATAGGATTAATTAAGTTTGGATCGAAACCGCGATTTGCTGTTAGCTGTGAAATTGCGAACTGATTTTTAGATAGCAGCCGGAAGATTTTACACTAAATAAAGTGTAGAACGCGAATAGTTAAAATCAAAATCATAGAGAATGATATAGCTTCAGATAATCAATGAGAAAGAAATGTGTATTGCATCAATTTCTTTAGGGTATTTAAGAAGATGTATACCTTGTTTTCACGCATGAATATGCCCTACTTAGTGGGACATATAATGCAAAGTGGCTGCTTTCTCTAGTCTAGGAATATTGTTTTTCAAGTCATCTATAGCAAAAGTGCGAACTAGGTCTGAGATGCAACTTGAAAATGTGCAGGATAACAGAAGGATTGAGGAGTCACTATTATTCACCTGTATAAACAGCTTTTATCTTGCCTTTCAAATACAGCTTGCTCACTAAGAAAAAAGTATGCTAGATTCTAGCATAGGACTTATTTTCTGTTGTTTCTATTTTCAAAAAGTCTTTTTCTTTACATACATATGAATGTATAAGATAATTTTGCATATATCATTTACGCCGATTTAACATCCAGACATCCATTAAAACTGATAAAATTGTCATTTTATTGTATCATATCGGATAGATTTTCTTTCACAGCTTAGAAAAAGAATTAATATGGACAACAAATTAAGAAATGTTTGTTTCTGGATGGGTGATACCTTTGGCTACATTGTTTGATGCATATTCTTATAGTAATTTCTTAAGCCGATAAAGCCGAAACTTAGTAATATCTACTTAACATTGATTGAGAATAGAGAGTAGAAATAGTGATGGATGTGAGAGGATCTAACAGAGATTGAATGAAAGCAATGTGATAATGTTAAGCCTGCTTTAATCCATCTGATTGATGATTCCCTTTTGTTGTTCGGAAACTGTAAAGAAACCAGCAGCAACCAATTCGCCTGAGGCGGCTAGAAGCTCAGTCGAGCACTGTGTCCTTAACTGCCTTGCTGTTTGTCCTAACATTGTTTATGTTGTTTTGAAGCCACTGTTATATGATGCATTTCCAATGAAACAAGGAGTAGACATTTCATAATATAATGATGAAATAATTGCAATTCTGTTTGAGAAAATGGCGCACAATGCTTTGGTACATTATGATGAGTATGGTTCATGAGCCATTAAAAAACAATTTACGGTCTTGTAAGATGTGGTCTAGAAACGACAGCTAATTTAGTAAGTTTACGTTTAGGCGCTTTCTCTTTCCGGAATCCTTTTTTGAAAATCAAAACATCGTGCATGTTTATATAGGCCAGCAAAGAACTCGTATATCATAGACCGTATTTATAGAAAGTTGACTGTGTTACTACAAGAAAAATGACTGTTCCCATTATAAAAGTGGCTGTTGCCATTAGGAAAGGATTGTTGCCATTAGAAAAGGGGTTGTTGCCATGAGAAAAGGGATTTTTGCCATTAGAAAAGGGGTTTTGCCATTAGAAAAAGGTTCTTGCCATTAGAAAAGACGTTTCTGCCATTAGAAAAGACGTTTCTGCCATTAGAAAAGACGTTTCTGCCATTAGAAAAGACGTTTCTGCCATTAGAAAAAGGTTGTTGCCATTAGAAAAGGGTTAATGCCATTAGAAAAGGGTTGTTGCCATTAGGAAAAGGTTTATGCAAAAGGGTTGTTGCCATTAGAAAAGGGTTAATGCCATTAGAAAAGGGTTAATGCCAGTAGAAAAGGGCTGTTGCCATTAGCAAGGTTTCTTAACTGCCAGGGACGAAGCTGCAGGATTTACTTGTGTAAAGATTGCTTTAAAAAATTTGCATCACTCTCTTTACCGTCATGTCGCAAGATCACCTTTGATGTGTTTCTTTAGTCGTGAAATGAAACTTTCATTCCGTTGCTAGCCAGAAATTTCTTAGTAATTCTTACACGTTACGCAGAGATATTTGATAAAAATATAGCTAATGACTTAAAAAGACAATCGTTCTTGCTATGCAAAGGCCTTTCACATGTTTTGATATCGTCATGTTTGTGTGCAGAAGGCTGATAGACAGGTGCTTGGTCATTCCTTGTTTTATTTCATAGAAGAGAAGGGCATATCTATCAAAATGTTTAGCTTGCGTTGTAAAAATCTTAGCGAAAATTGAGATTTTTTGTTTGCGACACAATTTGATTGTCTCCTGTAGGCATTTCTTACAAAGATTGTTTTGAAATCTTGATGACTTCTAAAAACACGAGCATGCAGCATAAGATAACAGAGTTTTCATTACACTTACACTTTCTGTCGCTTTATTATCTTTCTGTAATCAACACTGATATAGGCATTGACTAACTCCATAATAAGAGTTGTGAAAGCCGGACAAAAGGATGAATTCAATATTTATGTCCTAGGTCACCAATGTATGCTCTGTTTGATATTATGCCAATGTAAAATAAAACATCCGAAAATGAAGAATGACTGTTTGTTTTATGAAATCAAAAAATGGCGCTTGACATCACGTTGATACAGCGTGCAGTGATATGGGCAGTTTAATTGATTTTTTAGCCGAAAAGGAAAACTGTTGTCTTTTAATTATTAGTCTCTTCTTCACGCAAAATGGTGTCAAATGCCGCTGACTTTTGGGAAGTAAGCAGTGCTAAAATATCAAGTATATTTCATCTCAGCTAGACTTCTTTCATTAAAATTATAAACTTTTTTCAGAAATTTACCCAAAGTGAATAACTTTTTCCCATAATTTGGCTTTTAATCCAGGTGTGCATCAAGAGTTCCCTCTATTTTCCGTTTTTGCACTACGCTGATATATAATAGCCTGGTATGAAGATGTATCTCTGGTGGCTTGATAAACCAACAAATGATTCAGTTGCAGAAAGAAATCCTTTTAGATGCCAATAACTGACATTTTCAAATTTCCCAATAATTTCACGCTAATGTTATTTCGTCTGTTTCCAAAACCTAGGAAAAGTAATGGAGAAATGAAATACGTTTTTTATGCTTAAATGATGCTGTCATTTATTTGATTTGATGCATTCAATACTGGGGTTTTCACAGTTACACTTCACTTACACAGTTACACAGTCTTCTTTAACCTTCAAGTTTCTTGTATAATCATTATTGAAAGTTGACTTTTACTCATTATTAAAGATTAGATACATTTTATTTATAACTAGCCCTATTGATTATTTTGACTTACTGAAGAAGCTCACTGACCTGTCGTATATTGCTCGTTGGCATATAAACAGAGCTGTACCGATTTAATCGTGATGCTTAGCGTGAAAGCCTTAGAACGTACAGTTCTACACATCAAGGCATGACTAAACTTATGTATCACTTTTTTTAAAATTTCATTTATCTTATTTGCCCACTTATTTTCGTAATGGAATTTAAAATTTGGAGTTTTTTCTCCAGAAAACCTGAATCAACCTTGTAATTGCTGCGTAAATTTATTCGTTTCATCTCTTAAGGTGTGCCAAGAAAGCATAGACGAGAACGAACAACATTCACCAAAGTCCAGTTAGAGTTACTTGAAACCCTGTTTTCGAAAACCCATTACCCAGATATTTTCATGCGGGAAGAAGTGGCCAATAAAATTGGATTACCGGAGTCACGTGTTCAGGTGAGCTGCTGTCTCTTTTATGATCTGACGTGTTCTAAACTTTCTGGTAGAGTTGACTAACGGGGTTAATGTACGAGTCTCCTCTAAAGCCATCATGGACTACACATTTTTATACAAAGATGTTTTATTTAAACTCCAATTCAAAGAAAAGACTACTTAACAATAAAAACTGGAAATTATTCATTTAAGAAGAAAAAAACTAACAAAGATTACGATAATGTCTTAGTAATTTATGTTAGCCATTAGTTATTTTGAAGTAGAGTTATAATTTAGATACTAAGAGGTATATTATTACCATCATCACATGAGTGGCATTTGTTCTTTCAGAATGAATAAGTTAAGCTGGGAATGGACGATAAAGAAAATCACATTTCTGGGTCAATACTTCATTTTCAAATCACTTTCGACCACAATTTTGCTCAGATTTCTATGAAAATATAAAAACTAAGACGATTTACCCATTACTAATCAAATTTATGAAACTTCATGGCAAGAGAACTAACAATGCCGCCATGCCCTAAATTTGACCTGTTAAAAACGAGAATTTGGTCTTTTAGATCATGTGCTGGCTTTAATAAAGTGGATCGCTTAATAGAACAAAGTATATGAATACTTTAAATTAGATTAGGCTAGATAAAACGTTGCGATTAAAAAGAGATTACGTGCCGCAGAGAGCTGCGATTATTTTAGTCTTGTACTCCTATGCTCCGAATTTTCAGTGCTAAATGGGGTTCCAAAGAAGAATTTGAGTTATTTTATTTGTGAATTCTAAAACCGGAATAAACAGTGGATTATCTCTGTATCTTCGGATATCCAAAAAGTAGAAAAAAGTGCCCTTGTTGTAAATAAGCGTGTTTGTTTTGTCTTCAAACGAGGAAAACAAAGACACGCATCGCATTGATTTTTGCATCCAAAGAAGGTATTGATACTCCAAACTCGATTTCAACAGAATTTAAGCCCTAACTTGTAAACCAAGTAGTGTATTTGAAAAGGTGGAGGATGTGCATGTACAGTAGTAGCTAGTGACGGCGAAAATACTTAGCAGTTTTTCTAAATGTTGAAACATGTCTAAATGTTTGCAAATTTTGCTTGTGTGTTTTGTGATATTCATAAACCCGCGAGTCCAACAAATACTTTGCTATAATTTAAAGGATTGTGAAAATTAATCAGCTTGACTCTGTTTCCTTAAGCTGACATTGTACTTCTTTTTAATTCAATTTATTAATAATCAATGAACAATTTTTTTTTCGTATCGATGCTAAAAAATTAATAGCTTTCGAGGATTTTTTTAACAGTATCATAATCTCCATTGCTTTGTTTTTGCAGATTTTTTCATTTCATTCATTTTTACCGACTAAATTCAATTCCAAGCAAAATTGAGCTTTGTTTGAAAAAATTGACGTCAAGGAATTCAATATTCTGTTATTATATTTGGCAAAATTTCAATTTTAGCTTCCTGGTTTATTGTTCGAAATATTTCAGGATTTTTATTCCAAATAAAGCTCTCATAATATTTTCTTCAATATGCGATCAGTTCCCATTTGTTGCAAACACCTATTAATATGTATTTTAATGCCTTTAAACAGATCTGGTTCAAGAACAGAAGAGCTAAATATCGTCAAATAATGAACAAAAAGAACCCAAGCAAGGAGAAGAAGCAGAATCCGTACCAATTTAGGCCCAATGGAATGAACGGAGTAATGCCACAGCAACTCCATCACCAGAGCGCCTACTGGGGACCGCCAGCAGGCTACCAAGGATTCCCTAGGCCTCCATCTGCAATGCATACTCAGCTTTTCAAACCGCCATACAGTGCTGCGACCGATCCAGATCATCAGCGATTATATTCTCGTGAATTCGCATCACAACTCTCAGGACATTCACCTGGTGCGCCCTTCTGGCAAAGTAATGTGCATACATCAGAAAGAAACTATTATTATCCGGAAAGTGGACCTACGGGCTCCTATTACAACGGAGAGACACTATCACCCGAGTATTATGGAGCTAGTATGTAATATTTTAGCGTTTAATAATTGTATATAGATTGATTTACAAGTAATTTATTATTACTTTTTTAAAAGGATGGGTAAGATATCAGGTGGTTGTTTAATAGTAATACGAATAGCCTCCCAATTGCTACTGTGTCAGGCCATTTTTATGGGTAGCTGTTCAGCTATTATAGCAATTGTAATAACCCTATCTTCTTTTGTATCAATCTTAGTACATATTGACCAGTTAAGAGGCTGGCTTTCCGGTTTGTCAGTACTTCGACATGCCCTGCTAGTTTTCGTCATATATTATTTTTATCGAACTCAATGTCTAATATGGTACAATTTACAGAAAAAAAACCTGTGTTTGTTAATCAGGGAGCAATCATATTGCTATTTCGGCAAACAGGAGATTTATAAAAATCTGCTTTTAACATATCGGAAAAGTGCCCCACATTCTTCCATCTAGAGCGAGGTTTTCTATGTCGTCATAAAACCTGAGATTTAGCGTGGCCACACGAGAATTTCTTATTTTTACCCGTCCGTGAAATATTTTTAGGCTGTAGGAAAGTAAATGCATTTCTCATTCAACTTAGGAAACCTATGTACATTTTGTATTTATTGTACATTAATTGATACGGCTAGTTTGCTTCATCGTTGTTGCTTATGACGTATTGCCACAACTAGGACCAGTGTCCTTTTTCTTGTACCACTCTTGCGCACTTTCTCTAAAACCAAATTGTTGCAAAATATTTTTATCCAAATCATTTCAGGTACGTTTCATTTAAAGTCCCCAAATATGCAATTGAAAAATAGGTAAGTAAATAAATATAATGACAGTTATAGCATATAACTAAAAATACATAATCGCTGATAACAATAAAGGTTATTTAAGCCCGATTGTCGGCCGTACAAATTTAGACACGAAAAAGGTCACAAACAACAACAAATGTGCAAAAAAATAATACATCACTACACTTCAAAAACATTTTTCCACACAAAGAATTGACGGGACAGCTTGCAGTTCTAGTTCCCTTGCTATCAAAACGAGAAAGGGGAAGCATGTACATATTTAGTACAAATGTTATCAGTTCTTTCAAGTTAATTAAAAGTATGACGAATAATGGAATTATAGGCTTGTTCATAACGGCAACTCAGGAAGGCTTGCCATTATACTTCCTATGGTTAAAAAATAAAGGATGCCCCATTCATTTGCTATATTTGCAATTTTTTCAAATTGAATGACATGCAGAAAATTTGGTAGAGCGATTTTGTCATGATGAGGTGATCTGGTCTCACTGGGACATACTTTAGCATGCAAAGCAGACACGTATTGTCAAGGGCAAATCGTAGTCATAAGGCAATAAATTGCTTGCTTATAGGGCCTATTTGCTTTTCGATGCCAAAACATAGGAAGATTAAATCAATTTGCCTTCACCTGCATTGATGTGAATGTAAGTTGTCTATTTGTCTTCACTTTTCATCATTAAATGAGTGTTTTTGTCTATTATCAACAAGCATGACAGGAGCTAGGTTTTGGTCTCAAACACTAATTTCCTTATAACATTGCAAGCTTATGTCGAGGCTTGGTTGAGTTATAAAGAAGCTTGCCATTTAATTAGGGTCAGCTTACTTGCTTGCCATTCCTCTAAAAAAATTAATCTTCGGTCTTAAGGTTTATCAGTATCCACGGCAAGCTTTTTACGGAATTTGCGCACTGTGTCACGGAAGTCTTTCTGCTTTGTATAGGCCGAGGGGAAACACAAAGTAAATTATATTTTCATAACAGAGTTATGCAGTGTGCCGAAATTTCGTTACTGAATCAAAATTAATAAGCAACGATTTGCTTATGAAAAACATCTATCAATTTGGGAGATACGCCCCATTCATTCCACCCTCAAACTCATTTTAGAATGTTCATTGAAGTTTTTGTTTTTTCAAATGATGCATCTTTTGAATCTGATCCTAAAGCGCTATCTGTCCGTCTTTAACCATGGTGTACATGATATGTTTTGTGGTTTCAAATTACATATATAACCGATTTATTTTGTCAGTAACGAATGCTGTTAGTAAGAATCGACCAAATTTGAATGTCAAAGGCCATTTGGCTATTATACAAAGCATTTGGTGATAAGAGATTCTTATCAAACTATTAAAACATTTAGATTCGAGTTGGTATGAAATCTAAATTTAGTTAAATTTGAATTCAGTGACCGCGCGCGTGCAAAGGATTAGTTTCATCAATCCAATTTTTGTGAAGCTCTGCCACAAATGAAATGTATACAGTAGATGGGAGAATTTTGGTAAGTGAAGAGTTCGTTCAGAATTTATATTGGGGTTGCTGTTGCTCCTTCTGGATTACACTCATTTTTTAAGAAACTCAGTTCGGGGCTGGTGACCCTTTTTCCTTATTTTTTTTACTTTAATGCTAAACTGGTTTCTTAAATTATAGACCAGATTCTCAAGCACTTCTTTTGACAGAGATATGTAACATGAAATAACTTGTAATTTAATTTCGTGTAAAGTGTTCAGGGGCTTTTTCTTCCCATTCATCTAACAAATTAAAGCTGAAAATAGGTAAAAAGTCTGTCTTTAAAAAAGGATATTCGAGCAGGTTAAGTAAGGATGGTTAGTTCCATTGTTTCTTATCTATTTGCTTTTCTTATTTATAGAATTTACGTCATTAATGAGATAATTTTTAAACCAAAATATAATAAAACTCATTTTACTTTTCTTATATCTTTTAGAATAGATTAGTTATTAGCTTTGTTTTTAAATTCAACGGAAGTTAAATGGATGGCCCCATGAAAATGAATTGAGTTTTGCAGCTTAATTAATTACCAGCAAATAGCTACTTTGTAGAACTTACTTCCTAATCTTTATACAACCTTTGTTGTTGTCTTTAATTTCACCAGTATAAATTAGACGTATTCTTGGTATTAAGTCGTTCAAATGATCGATAAAGTCTGTGGTTGTAGAGGAGTACAAAACCTGGAACATTAAAATAATTGTCTAACTGTCGGAAATCGCAGCAAGGTAGACTTTTTTCTTTTGAATCTCGACAAACGTAAACATTTTGTGGATTTACAAGAGTTTTGTAAACCATGCATTTGCACCTTAACTCTTCGCATGGCATATTTGTATTTTCCGACACCAGCATAATTGGAATTTGACTTCAAGGAAAAAATATAGGGATAAACAAGGTGAAAGACATAACCACGCTATTGAATTCCCGCTTGTTTTTAAAAAGTCTTTCCAAAATATTTTAACTGTTTCTAATAAAGTTTGTAAAGTTTGGATTGGAAACGATTTATTCTCCGTAATGAGGCTCCAACTGAAAAAACAATTTTTCTTTAGAATTCGTGAGTTGGATTCTTCTTTGTTATAAGTGTACGGTCGAACTTTTGATAGGACCGTCAAAGACGACTTTCACTTTAGGCGGCAGCTCATCAAGCAAGCATAATCTCTGAGAAGTGAAGTAAATTGAATAAACGGAGAAAATACTGACTTTTCTCTGGCACTGTTAACCTGTCCAAAGCGACCATTCTGCTGGGACTTAGCCAATGTTCAGATGAAGGTTTACACGAGAAAGGGCAAACAAACAAACGTAGAATGAAGCGAATCTGGTGACATTGTTAAAAAGCACTGGCACAGAAGAAATTTTCAGCAATTAAAGACAAGATATCCTACCGATCACATATTTTATGCATTAATACTTAAAATAATTTGTATGGTTTATTTAAATGTGAGCGCTATCAAATATCTGATCTTCGAAGTTAAGTGCTTTGTTGGTGTAACTTTTACCATGGACTGCCCTGCCGGTTTAATCGGAGCATTCATTTTGCTTCAACCTATCTTCAAAGAACCCCGTTCACAGTGCCCGTATTAATATGAAAACAGATAAAAAAGTATCCGTTTGTGCCTTGCGTTCACACTGCTCCACCTTAAAAACGGAGACTTTTGAAAACGCACTTTGAAAACGGAGACTTTTGAAAACGGAGCCTTTTTGAAAACGCAAAAACGAAGTGTAAACACCGAAAACGGATACTTTTGAAAACGCTAACAACAACAGCAGCAGCAACAACAACAACACAATTCACTCAAAGTTAGCATACTACTCGGAGGAAAATTAGTGACAGTGAGTTGTTTGAAAAGTTTATTAGTAGTCGCAAGGTCTGTAAACTAGTTGGTGGCGTTTTCCGTTTTATCCAGAGCGGAACAATGTGAACGCTCCATCGTTTTCACGCCGTTTTCAAATGTATCCGGAGCAGTGTTAACAGGTAAAACGGATCGATACGAAAACGGATAAAAATGACTACGGAGCAATGTGAACATAGCCTTATAGTCTTGAGCCACTTGAAAATACAAAGGCGATTTTTTAAGCAGGAATGGAGTAGATAATATGCACGATTTTGTTTATCGCTACTGATAAACAGTGGAGGATTAAAACATTTTAGCAATAGATAATAAACTCCGAATATCATTTTTGTATTCGCCGACAAAACAGTAGTTGAGGATGTGTTACCCCCTGCACCCTCTTTGGCTACGCCCTTGGGAGTCAAAGACATCGGGAGATCTTGAACATTGGAAGGACATTAAAAAAGGGCACCTAGCTTAAAGCAAACTTCACATGTACAAATTCTAGTATATCTGGCATCTGTATTAGCATCTTATGAAAAAAAATGCCGGGGAGAGGAAAGTGCAGTGTTAATTTTTTAGCCGTGCTTCACTTCCATAGTACCAGCCATCGTTACAGCTCAAATTGATTGCTCTGAATGCAAATTATTTGCTTGTGTTAACGTTGCAAACAATTCTTATTTTCCAAAAAGACTCTTAGGATATCAAATACACACTCAAAGAAGAACGATAAATTTTTCTGCATAGCAGTCTACTCAAAGTTTGATCTAGTTGATCATAATAGAGAACGGTAATACAAATTTATTGTGCTAAAGGAATAAGAAAAATGAATAAGGATGTGTTCTTAACCTATTCATAGACAACCCACACAAAAAACCTATTCTAACAGTTGAGACAACCTACAGAATAAAGCTGTGATGATGGAGTACGTGCAAAATTTTCGCAAAAAGGGGTTTTCCTTGTATGAGCCTGTAAGATTTTGTTAAATGTGAACACGAAAATACTTACTTTCTGAAAAAGGCTTATCGTGGTCGGAAAGTTTTGGTGCTGGAACAGGCCTAACTGTTGGGACCATTTTGTGATATGTTGCAACCGAATTAGATCGCTTTAATGTACCACCAGGTTCAAATTCATTTAGGCCAACAATCATGGTGCTGTTAAAAAATGTGTTATAATTTGATCGAAAAATAGCCATAAAAGCAAAAGCTCTTTCCCAATCAAATTCAGGGTATTTAGATAAGGGTAAATGCTCAGTTGACATTGATTAACCCAATCAAGCTAAAATAAGCTAAAAAATATAGACAAATTATCATAATTTATATAGCAAAATACAAATCGTGGAAATGAATATCATAGTAGTTAATCATCCCGTGCTCTGAGTTTACCAGCCAATGATTGAAATGGATCATCGGCATGTTTTGCAGATTGCCATCAAATTAAGTGATAAATGAACACCGAAAATAAATAGATAATAATAGTAGATTAAAAATTTGTGAAAAGTTCATTATATCGAGGGTAATTATGATAAAGGGGCCTAAAAATTTGTTCGTAATTACGAGAGTTCGTTAAATCCGGGGTTCGTTATACCGAGAGAATTTCAAAGGAGTTTGCTAGGTACTAGGTATTTAATTCATTAGACTGGGAAGTTTGTTATATCCGGGGCTCGTTATATCGGGATTCCTTTGTAGGTAAGAATGCGTTGTTGCAAATTAACTACGTGGAAATTAAAACTGAGTCAACTGTTGAGCCCCTCTCTCTCCGACAAATATTATACAACTGTTGCCCATCAGTTGTCGAAAACCTATACGGTAAAGGGTACTTGAAATGATGCATTATTGTTAAAAAGAAAAAGCACCTAACCTTGAAGCACAGCCCGCTTTCTGGGCCCTGTCCCCGAGGCATTGCTCCGGCTGAATCGGCACTATTGCTACTCAAGTCTTTGCAGAGAGGCTTTTGAGATAAACATTTCTTGGAGTGATCTCAGACATAAAAAATCATTGTTCACCTTTTTTATGCTGCATGGAGAGCAGAATAAATCTGCAACGAGGAGAAATCTAAAGATTGATTAAACATGTACATTATGGCAATTCTTTATCCATGAGAAAGATTTCCGGTAATAACTGCGCAAAATGATCTGGTCAAATACCAAATTTGATGTTTGCTTCATCTTAAAATATGTATACAGCTTAAAATACATAAAATATGATTTAAACCTGGTTAAAAAAGTTAGAAGAAATCATGAGAATAATGACAATATTTATTAATATGCCAAACTTACAGGAAAGAAAAGCGAAAATTGTATTTAAGTTGCACCCCAGTCGTAAGTTGTTCTTTAAAGATATTCATAATTTATACCAAAGTTTTGCATTTCAAAATGAAAAGCGAAATGAAATCAAATATCACAAGACAGGGACCGCGCACCAGTTTAAAAGTGAGGGGGGAGGGGCTGAAAAGGGCGTGACCGAAAATGTTTTGAAACCACGCCCTCTAAAACGCCAGAAATGCCCCTTTTACAAAATACTTGCTTATTTATAGTGATCTTTTATAAAAAGTCTGGTTGAGAGAAGATATAAACAACCAAAAAAAAGATAAAATTAGCCTGAGGATAATAAAATACCAAGCTAACCAAGTTAGAAAATACATCATTTCATGAAACAAGATAGAACAGCCATAAAATGACCAAAAAGGGTTTCCAGTCAAGAAGAACTGCTCCGAAAAAGGGGAATCCAGAGTAAAGTTTCTTAAAAAAATTTTTAACCCGTTGTTGCAGAAAGGTGGTGGGAAGGGGGCTATATCACCTGCTAGCTCAATAACTGCGCAGTGCCTGTCAAAACACCTCTCTTGGACATATCACCATGCCATAGTAGTTCGTATTTTTTAGGTCACCCTTCGTACCTTTCCACAAAGACATTTTACTTTTCGCACAATCATTTAATGTAAATAGTTTTGGAGATATAAATGTCACGCAAGAAGAGAAAAGATAACTTCGAACCTTGAGAATGAACAAATAATTTTCTTAGGAACTTATTTCATTCTTTTAAAAAACATTAAATTCAAAAAACACTTACTTCAAAGAGCAGTTTCTAGTTTCTATTTACTGGATGGACTCTTCTGCCCCGATTATTATAAACTGGTGCAATTTCAGTGAGATCTTTTCTTTCGTTATTTTCTGTTACTTTTATTGACGATTATGTTTCATTTTATGCCTAAATTTCTTCCAAACTTATCTCGCCCATGCCATTTTAAAGATAAACTTATGAACAATTTTTTTGCCGTACAGAATTTAAAAATGGCTTTGAAAAAAGCAAACATTTTACGACATACTAAAAGCTTTTTCGTCTGACACTACTCAGAGCATAAAACGTCAGAATAAGGTTCCGAAAGAACACGATGGAAAATATATACCCAGTTGTGGATCGAAATAGGCCAATCAGAAAAACGCAAGCACACGACCGGTATAGTTGACCAATCAGTGCCGCGAGCCTAAAGAAAAATACCAATGGAGTCCAAGAGAGAAAACGAACTCCTTTTGTCTACACAATGGCGGCTTTTTCGTTTTTATGTAGATTGACTCCAAAACTGCTAGATGGAAGGACGATCGGGCTCTGCCAATTATCCGAAACATGTCGTCATTATAGAGTTTTGCACAATCTGGGTTGTCTAAAAGATGTTGACCGATGGCAGAATCACTTGTTTTAACAGTGTTTCTAGACCTACAAGATCGAGGAAGCTGTTCTCTTTGAGGGGCTGTTTTGTTTCGTATGTTGGAAGTAACATGCTGTTTTATCCTATCCCCCAATCTTTGGATTGTGCGTCCTACGTAGCCAGAATCACACTGGCACGTAAATTCATAAATGACGGAACTTTTTTGTTTGGTAGGAACGCAATCCTTTTGAATGGATGGATGGAAGGGCTCTCCTAGTGCTGTAAACAATCCGAGGATTGACAGCAAAGAAACATTTTGTTATGGCTTGCCTAATCTGACTTTCGAATTGCAAGGAAGTGTTACCAATCCATGGTAGTTTCAAATAAACTGGGCACTTTTGCGGACCAAACTTTTGAACAGCCGAAAAACTTGCGATCTTCTCCTTAGTATAAGATAAAATGACGTCTTCAGGATAGCCGTTGTCCAAGAAGATCGTTTTGAGTTTTTCCAGTTCAGCGTGCAGTTTAGATTTCGAGCAGATCATAAGTACCCTATGTACTAATGTTTTGACAAGGTTGACTTTGCGTTGTTTGGGCAAAATGAATTCCAGCGTATGTACTGACCGGTAAAAGTAGGCTTGCGATATACAATGGTAAGAAATCCAGTGTTAGACTTTTCGACCAAAACATCTAAAAATGGCAAGGAATCATTTTCTTCCTTTTCAAACGTAAACTGGAGGGCTGGGTGTAGGCTATTAAGGTGTTTAAAAAAATATCACACTCAGCCTCTGTTTTGAAAATGGTATATGTGTCATCCACATACCGAAAATAGACACCTGGCTTTTGGTCGTAAAAGGAGTTCGTTTTCTCTCTTGGACTTCATTGGTCATTTTTCTTTAGGCTCGCGGCACTGATGGTCAACTATACCGGTCGTGTGCTTGCGGTTTTCTGATTGGCCTATTTCGATCCACAACTGGGTATATATTTTCCATCGTGTTCTTTCGGAACCTTATTCTGACGTTTTATGCTCTGAGGAGTGTCAGACGAAAAAGCTATAAGTATGTCGTAAAATGTTTGCTTTTTTCAAAGCCAGATAAACTTATCTCACCCATGCCTCTTTGTTCTTTGCTTAGAATCTTTGTTTCTCTCTAGCTTCTTTGCTTAGCTTCATTTTACAGACAAATGCAAAATTATGGGTACAAATTTTGAACGAAAATTTCACGTCTCCGTTCAAAACCAGCAGCCTTAGTTAACCCCCATCCCATTTCTGGGTACCTGAGCCACATTAATTTTAGAGCGGAAAAAAGATAAGAGTGCAGACGCGAAGGAGCATCTCCTCCGGGCGACTATAGCCTCGATTCGGCAATCTTCCTATCAAACCAAAATGGCGGGAGTAGCGGGTGCTGCAAGTAATGGCAGAGAGAAATGAAATAGCCAGCATAAAGACCAAATTCGTTGCAAATAAGACTGTTTGGCTTGTAAGTACCTTTATGTTAGCTTTTTTATGAATACTACTTTTGACTACTAGCAGATCTTCCAGAGCCACCTGCTTAAGCGTGCCTGTTTTTAGTTCGATAGTAAAATTCACTCACAACAATTTCAAATTTTCAATTTTCATGTGTATTCTCAGCTTAATTACAATAAACTGATCTAGTCAAACAATTTATCAAGATACAATTTCAGTTTTACTTAAATACATACAAGGTTAAGATATTTAAAATAATTATTTGTATCTATAAAGTTATAGCTGAATGACACATGGAAATAACCCATAGGGGCTTTCGAGCCATGTGCCATCTTACGTGAATTTTGCCTGAAGTAATTATAAATCAATACACAATATTAATAAACAACAATAACATTTTTTTAAACTTTGAACAAAGATTTTGAAAAATAGAAAAGTTGGTTTCGAATATGATAGTTGAAACGTTACTCTAATCTATTTGTTTGTGGGAAAAAGGGGGAAGATTAAAAAGGGGATAAAAAAAGTGGTGGAATGCTTTTAAACTTTGTTAGAGTTCTTGTCTTTCTTTGTGTGCCAACACCACAGCTTCCATAAAGAAGAGTACATAATACAATTTATTTGGTTTCGAACTTCAGTTTGAATAATATTTGTTTTTCTGGTCATGTTCCCCACAAATATTTCTCCATTCAAATTTCTGGATTCTGATAAAAAGAAAAAGACAAAGAATCAAAGATCTTTTCTTTTTGAAAGCTAAATTGCAGTCTAGCCGCCTTTGCTACAAATCAAGTGCCCGATTTCTCATGAAACATTCATTATCTTCAAATTTTAGTTATGTTGTTATAGCATTCCAGGCGCAGCAAAATATGTTTTATTCTGGGTACCTAAAACAAGTTCAGGTCAAGTCAGTTTCCTTGAAAAATTGTTATGTTGCTAAATTTGAAAATTCTTAAGACCATATATGGTTAAAGATCATTTTCAAAAACTTTCTTCTGAAGATGTACTTTAAAGCAGGGCTGGCTTTTGGGGCTAAACATGAACTTCTGCCATTCTTTTTAAGTTCTGCCATACTTTTCTCTGATATCTACTGTTTTTAAGAGCTGTTTGATACAGTGAAATTTTGCTTTGTTGAAAACAGTTAGCTGTCAGCAAGCTCATGATTACTGCTAGGGGAGTGTTTAATTTCTTGTAATGACTACACTTTAGTGGCCCACTTAATGTTACCTGGTGGAAAGTTTGAATGAATTACAAATCATTCAATTAAATCATTCAAATTACAGTAGAATCCCATTATAACGTACTCGGTTATTACATACTTTCGGGTATATAACGTACTGGTGTGCTTGGTCCTGGCAAAAAGTTTGCTTGGTTTTAGTCAATTTTTACTTACCCTTGTTACAACGTACTTCGGATATAACGTACTTGATACGCTGGTCCCTTAAAGTATGTTATAACCGGATTATACTGTATTGTTGTAACATTCAAAAGTTCAAGTTTCAGAAGTTCAACCAATTGAGGAGTGTCTGCCATACAATTGCAGCCATACAGCAGTTACAATAAAATATAATCCTTTAGGGTTTTTCTTTTTAGCTTAAGGGCTACTGCCTCCAAACCCCTGTTAATTGGATCTTGTTAAAAACAAGTTGTGAACAAAAAGGAATTTTGTTGTCATCTGTTTCTTCATAATTTCATTCTCTATTTTTCTCCCATAATCGTTGCTGGAAAAGTGTAACAAAAATGTGGGTTGCTAATGTGCAGACTAGCCCATTTTGGGATATTAAGAAAATTAAAGGCTCAAATAGTACCATCTCACTGCTTTCATTTCATACAGAATCAAGCCAATAAGCATGAAAGATAGAAATGTTTGTTTATGACAACAGAGAGTTCTAATTTAATGCCTCTTTATATTTCCACATCATTATATTTGCATGACAAAATTCAAAACTCTTGAACTGTTTTAAAATCAAAATGTTTAAACCCTATGTTTTAGGCCTATATAGTCAAATAAAGCTATTTGAAGGCACAATGATTTTTGATTTTGAAAAATTTCAACTTTAAATAGTTCATTCTTTGAAACTCTGAAATGAATACTATCTATTAAAACGGCTATTAAAACAGCATGGCTTCTAGCCTCACCGCTGTAATCTGGGTATTGCCTAGTCAAATTTTTAATCACACCAATCTAATGCAACACAATTTCAACTGAAATTTAATAATCTGGGGAAGAAAATACTTATTTTTGTATTTGTAAAATGGTTTTGTAGGCAACATAAATGGTGCCGATATATGGTTGCATCCTTTAATAGCGGTCGTTGAACCATATATTCATCCAAAATGTTAACTTGTTATTCTTTCTTACTGTATCCAAGCATACTTGCTTGCAGTCTGAACCCCATGAGCAGTATTTTAGCAAATTGTTATATCAAGGTAGATGTGGATATCTCTGTTTTGAATGAAATTGAAATGCATAAGTTTTAAGCTACAACAAGCAATTGTTTATTAAGGATGCCTAGAGGATCTTTTTCATGTGTCAGTCAACACAGAGCAAAAATGTTTGCAGCCGCTGTGCAAAGAGCTTTTGCGTCTGCAAGCTGCGGCCAAATGCTGATGTGCAAACTTTTCCTGCCACCCAACCATGCGACTCTTTGAACAGACCTGAGCATGGCAGAGTGAACTTGAATCGTGGTCAGCTCATTTTATGTACACAATTTTAAAGTGTGAGTATATTTCAAAAATTGTCCGTTCTACGGGGAAATGGTTCAAAATTCAAAATCATTTTATCTCAAAAACGGCACCATGCCGCACGCTGATTTTTTTATTGATTCATTTTCATGACGCAAAAAAATATATAAAATTGGTCGACATATCCGCAAAATTGGAACATGTTCATAATTTTACCACAAAGTTACCTAACGTTAGGATTGTCAAATTTTGGGGGCGATCGACTGATAAGTTGAAACAGCCATAATTTTAGGTATATGCATTATATTCATGAAAGTTTTTCATTAAAATAGATTGTTCACGAATGAAAGTAGCTGTTTTCTCCTCGATTTTGAAATCGCTTTGGCATTTTTTGTATAAGAGAAGGAAACCGAACAAAAGCGACATTCGGCAAGGTCAAGGTGGGAAGCTTTGTTCCATATTTAAATTAACGATCGTGAAAAATTTCCACCATGTCGCATCCTGAATTTTTGTATACTCGTAGTCAAAAGTTTAATTATTTTGTATAATGTCTCCTTCAGTGGCGGAAAATTGGAAAACGCTTTGAAATTTACTTTTAAATTGTTCACAATTCCCTCCTTGCTTAATAATAGGCCTATATCATTCGAATCAGGACAGAATGATACGACATTTGCGGGCAGGCAAATCACGTAAGCATGCGCGTGCATAAAAACACTTTTGCTCTATGTTGTGTCAGTCACAAAAATGAAATATGCCAATCAGTGGCAATGTTTTTTAACTCTCTTTATTCGTACTGAACGAACTGAAAAATTTAGGATTTCCGACCCCATTTTCAAGCTTTTTACTTAATTGAAGAAGCTTTAAGCTGAATATGATAGCAATGTTGTATGATTTTATAGGTTCCAAGAAGATCATATTCAGAACTCTTTATGCAAACAGTAAAGGCGAATAAGGAGCGGCTCAAATTGTAAACCTGCAAGGAACAGAAGATGAATAGCACATCAAGTCTTGACATTGAGCATTTTCTGGCACTGTGATCCTGCGAAACGCATTGACTTTTTCTAAAGCTGGGTAACATGTCATTATATCAGACAAAGAAAAGAATGACTTGCCAGGCAGGTGAGACAAGTTTTGTGTTACTGACTTTTTTGAGAGATGACTAGAATAATTTTTCCTGAAAGTTTCTCATATCATTCAGTTTTAATTAAGTCCTGGGCACACTTGTATAGAAAATAAATAGTATTATATTTTTAAAACCTAGAAATCAAGGCAAGCTTTATCTACTTGGACAAGCAGCGGGGATATTTTCGTTTTCATCTTTTCGGAACCTTTGAGAGATCAGGCGAAGTTTGAAAAATTCAGCAAGAACAAATTTTGCAGGGCGCAATAGAAACTTTACATAGCAAATGAGCACTCATTGTTAGAAGACAATAGAGATTAGGTTTGTCATGATTTTTTCATGTTTCGAATGCTAGTGCGCCCGAGCCCATTCATAAATGTAAAAGTATTGCTCCTAGAAAAAAATTATTTTTGAATTTTTTTTAATTGATGTAGTCCGATTTTTGCTATAAGGTAGACTTGGAAGCTGATACCAGAAAGGCAATTAAATGCATTTTAAATTGATCCGGGGCAATTTGACAACCTTGGAAAACACCTGGCGAAAAATCATCAGTAGATGGTGTAATAGCTATAAAAATGCGAGTAATGCAATTTAGAGTTGTCGGGAGAAAAAAACTTTTCTTGGAGTACAACCAACTAAGGTAAGCAGATAAAATCAGGACAAAAATGGGCTGAATATTTCATCGATTTTTTGTGGTTTACGACCAAATTTAAAAAATGTGGACGAAAAACTTTTTGATTTGCTCCTTCACTTTGCCTAATTGCATTAACGCGTACAGTTTTGATTTATGTACTAAAATTTTATACACTGAAGTTTGTTAGGCAAAACCTTCAGGATGTTCAAAATGCTTCCTTTTTTGAAAGCCATTTTCAAAATCTATACCACAAAAGCATTGTGTGCAAAAGAAAGGTATTTAATACCAGGTAAGTTTGCCTTCAACCAAATTCTTTTTGTGAAAATTGGCCATTTTTTTAACTTTTTTGCAAGTCCAGGGCCACAATATGACCTAGAAAATAACCGAAAACCCTCCTAACTATGTTGGGATCGTATTTTCAAGTATTTCTGATTGTGTCCCATAAATTTTTCACACGTTCAGGATGATAGATTTTCTGAAAAATGACTCTGTTGCTTTCTTCCAAATATGACCTAGAAATTCATCGAAAACAATTTTTGTGGTGTTCGGAACGTATTTTCAAGCATATCAGGTTGTTTCCCATAAAAACAAATTTTTGAAAATTTTTAAGATTTTTGAAGCTTTTTAAAATGTTCAGGTGATAGATTTTTTATAAAAATGGCTGAGTCATTTTTTTTCAAATACGACCTAGAAATTCATTAAAAATACTTCTAATAGTGTTCAGAACGTATTTTCAAGTATTTCAGATTTTTTCCTGCGAAAAAAAAATTTTGAAAATATTCTAAAAGTAAAAAGTTTGAAAAGTTTTTTCACAGGTCTGGGGTTATAGATTTTGTAAAAAATGACTAAGTTGTTTTTTTCAAATATAGCCTAGGAATTCATCAAAAACTCAGTATTTCAGGTTGTTTCATGTGGAAAAAAAGATTTTTAAAATTTTTTTCAGAATTTTGAAGTTTCTTCCCTTGTCTGGGGTCATAGATTTTGTAAAAAGCAACTAAGCTTTTTTTCAAATATGGCCTAGAAATTCCTCGAAAATACTTCTTATGGTGTTTGGAAACTATTTGCAAGCATATCAGGTTGTTTCTCTTGAAAAAAATTTTTGCAGAATATTCAGCATTTTCAAGTTTTACAGGTCCAGAGTCATAGATTTTATGAAAAATGAATTTTTTGTTTTTTTTCAAAGGTCACCTAGAAATTTATCGATATGCTTGCAAATAGTCTTTTCAAGCATTTCTGCTAGTTTCTCTTGAAATTATTTTTTTGAAAATTTTGACATTTTCTACCCTTTTTGACAGGTCTGGGCCATAGATTTTGTGAAAAATGGCTTAGTTGTTTTTTTCCAATTATGACCGAGAAAATCATCGAAAACATTTCTAATAGTGTTCAAAATGTCTGTTCAATGATTTCTGCTATTTTCGCTGGAAAATATTTTTTTGAAAATTTTGAGATTTTTGACCCTTTTTGACAGGTCCAGGGCCATAGATTTTGTGAAAAATGACGTAATTGTTTTTTCCAAACATGACCTAGAAATTCATCAAAAAACTTGTAATGGAGTATGTTGGAAGACATGGCCTCGAAGCCTCTCAAGGATAGTTCTAGTTGTGTTTCTTATAGTTAATAGATCCTTTATGTTACTTCGAAAGACAATTAATTTGTCTCAATGTTTGCAGTTTTTTTATCTTTTTGCAAGTAAAGGGTCATAAATTTTTAATTTTTTACAAAATCGTTTTTCAGATATCACTTGAAGGATCATAGAATTGTCTGCAAATGACTACAGAAAGGTATTTAATATTTTTTACTGTTGTTTTAAGCCAATAACTGTTTTTCAGATTTTTTGGATTTTTTGAGTTTTTTCACAGGTCTGGGGTCATAGATTTTGTGAAAAACGACTGAGTTGTTTTTTTCCAAATATGACCTAGAAAAGCATCGAAAACATTTTTAATGGTGTTCGAAACGTATTTCCAAGCATTTCAGGTTGTTTCCCGTGAAAATTTTTTTGGACAATTTCCAGATTTTTGAAGTTTTTTTACACGTCCAAGATGATAGATTTTCTGAAAAATGACTAAGGTGTTTTTTCCAAATATGACCTAAAAATTCATCGAAAAAACTTCTGATGGTGTTTGGATCGTATTTTCAAGTTTTCATGTTGTTTCCTGTGAAAAAATTTTTTTGAGAAATTTTCAGATTTTTGAAGCTTTTTCACATGTTCAGGTGATGGTTTTTTTGAAAAATGACTGTGTCATTTTTTCCATGTAGAACCTAGAAGTTTATCGAAAACACTTCTAATGCTGTTTGGAGCTTATATTCAAGCATGTCACGTTTTTTCCCGTGAAAATTTTTTTGCAAAATTTTCAGAATTTTGAAATTTTTTCTCAGTGTTGGGCCATAGATTTTGTGAAAAATGACTTTGTTATTTTTTTTTCAAACATGACCTAAAAACTCAGCGAATACACTTGTTATGGTGTTCGGAATGTATTTTCAAGCATATCAGGCTGTTTCCCGTGAAACATTTTTTTTGCAAATTTTTTAGATTTTTTATGTTTTTCACAGGTCTGGGGTCATAGATTTTGTAAAGTGTTTTTTCCAAATATGGCCTAGAAATTCATCCAAAACCCTTCTAATTGTGTTCAGAACGTATTTTCAAGTGTTTTAAATTTTTGCTGTGAAAAAAGTTTTGAAAAATTTTCAGATTTTTCATGTTTTTCACATTTTCATCATTTCAGACTTTGTAAAAAGTTGTTTTTTCCCAAATATGACCTAGAAATTCATCGAGAACAGTTCTAATGGTGTTCGGAACGTAATTTCAAGCATATCAGGGGGTTTCCTGTGAAAATAAAAATTTTTATAGGTCCAGGGTCATAGATTTTGTGAAAAATGAATTTTTTTATTTTTTTCAAAGATGACCTAGAAATTCATCGAAGACAGTTCTTATGGTGTATTTTGCAAGGCCATGCCTCGAAGCCTCTCAATAATAGTTCTAGTTGTGTTTCTTTTAGTTAACAAGGTCTTTTATGTTACTTGGAAAGAAAATTGATTTGTCTCAAAGTTTGCAGTTTTTTAATCTTTTTGCAAGTAAAGGGTGATTAATTTTTTTATCTTTACGAAATCTTTTTTCAGATATCACTTGGAAGCTCAAAGGAATGTCTGCAAATAACTACAGAAAGGTATTTAACTGTTTTGCAAAATTTTCATTTTTTGAAGTTTTTTCACAGGTCCTGGGCCATATATTTTGTAAAAAATGCCTTAGTTCTTTTTTTCCAATTATGATCTAAAAATTCATCAAAAACACTTCTGATGGTACTCGGAACGTAATTTCAAGCATATCAGGTTGTTTCCTGTGAAAAAAAAATTTGTGCTTAATTTTTAAGTTTCTGACGTTTTTTCACAGGTCCAGGGTCATAAATTTTGTGAAAAAGACTTTTTTCTAAACATGACTCAGAAATTCATCGAAAACACTTCTAATGGTTTTTGGAACGTAATCTCAAGCATATCAGGTTGTTTCCCGGGAAAAAAAATTTGCAAAATTTCCAGATTTTTGAAGTTTTTTCAGAGATCCGGGGTCATAGCTTTTTTGGAAAATTACTAAGATATTTTTTCCAAATATAACCCAAAAATTCACCCAAAGCAATTCTAATTGTGTTCGGATCGTATTTTCAAGCATATCAGGCTGTTTCCCGTGAAAAAAAATATTGCAAAATTATCAGGTCTTTAAAGTTTATTAACAGGTCCAGGGTCATAGATTTTTTTAAAAATTAGAAAGATCTTTTTTCCAATTATGACCTAGAAATTCATCTAAAACACTTTTAGTGATGTTTGGGACATATTTTAAAGCATTACAGGCCGTTTCCCGGGGAAGACAAATCTCACTAAATTTCTAGATATTGAAGTTTTTTTCACAGATCTGAGGTCATAGATTTTGTGAAAAATGACTGATTTGTTATTTTCAAATATGACCTAGAAATTTTTGAAAAAAATTGGAATGGAATTCGGAACGTATTTTTAAGTATTTCAGGTTGTTTCCCTTGAAAAAAGAAATTTGGCAAAATTTTCAGATTTTTGACGTTTTTTCACAGGTCCGGGGTCATTGATTTTGTGAACAGTGACTGGGTCGTTTTTTCCGAATATGACCCAGAAATTGATCCAAAACACTTCTAATAGTTTTTGGAACATGTTTTAAAGCATTACAGGTCGTTTCCCTGGGAAGACAAATCTTGCCAAATTTCTCGATTTTTAAGTTTTTTCACAGGTCCTGGTAGACAGGGAATTTTTCCTAACAAACTGGCGGAGAGGGTAACCGGAGGTTTTTCACTTGTTTCCACTTCCTTGGTCTAATACCTTGAAATGTCGAAGGGTGTTCAAAAAATTTCGCCCTAGATGTCACGTGATCGATGACATAAATTTTAACGGTCAAAAAAAATGAAAATCGTCAAATTTGAAAACAAACAACATCAATCGAAAGAGTATAAAAAACTGAACAAAAAAATGCTTAGAAACATATATCCTAAAATCAACCAGTTAAAAACTATCACGTCTCAAAATATTGATGACGTCACCATATGCGCAAGTCGCAAGTACGGGAAATTGACAATTTCCGCCATTTTGGGCCTCTTTTGTTGATACTATTGTGGAATATCCATGTTGACAAGATATGAGGCGTAAGTGGTTGTGATGTTAAAGTGGATATATTAGGGGTTAATCAGTGGCGGATCCAGACTACCGCCATTATCGCTCGAGCAGTAGTCAGATTATTAAAAAAATTATAGAAACAAGGATCATTTTCATGTTTATCCTACTACTTTAATTAAATCATAGTTAAAAATTGAAAATATTTGATCGCGCTGCAAACCAAGCATTCCTTCCTAGAAACATGCCTGAAATTTCCACAGACAGAAATATTTTTAATCCTTATCGCTATGGAAATTGCTTGCCAATTGGCCGAGTCACATGTTTGCAAATAGAAGGCTAGCATGGGGGGATCATGAAATCATGGCTTGCTAGCTAGGGGGGTTGAGTCGGTGTAGAGCGGATTCGAACTGCACTGAGCGGTAGTCAGCCTGCCTAAACCAATCAAATCATCAGAAATCACAGCCAACCTGGGGGGATGCATACAAACATTGTTGACAACCAATGAACAACCGAGTTGACTACCGCTCAGATGGGGGGTTGAGTAGTACTGCCGCTCAACACGACTCAAACGTTACAGAAAGATGGAGGGATGTCTACATATTCTGCAAGTGGGCAAACTGTAACTTCAAAGCCGATGTGACCCATTATTTTGTACAATACACAGCTATTCGTAGGAATATATTTTATGAGAATATCAAGACTCAAATATTCTAAAATTTAAGAAGGCATCAGGATTAAAAGTCAGGCCCACAATCTTCGCCAAAAGTATGATTCTTTGTTTAACAAAAGTTGCTCTCAATAATTGCAAGTTTTATCTGGCTTTTTAAAGTTATAATTTCCAACAGGTCTGATTTTCATAAGTAATTGTGCGACTAAATGCAATTTTAAGGCGACACTTCAAGATTCTGCCAAATGTATCTTTCTTTTAATTCTATGGTGTTCCTAGGCTAAATGCCGTAAATTTTTTTAGAATATCCATCCTCAGAATATTGAATAAGATTATTTATTTCTTCTCAAGCTTGTTGTAAGGATACATGAAATTTCAGTAAAGCATCGCTTGTCCCTTAAAAATGGTCTACATAAGAAATTAAAGAAAGCTATAATCATTTTAGAAAACCGGGTGTGACTAGTAAATGGGTGTGGTCTAAAGGGTGTGGTCGACCCTCTATCTCATTTCGGCAGTAGTCAGACTTTTGGCTGGATCCGCCACTGGTTAAGGCATAGAGTAGCCCCTAAGGGTTAAGTTAATCCATTACTTGACTTTCATCTAGTTTGGCACGTTTATATTTTCCAAAGTTTTCAAGATTGAAATCTCCATCATTTGCAGTTGTAGATGAGCTACGCCAAAATTTTTCATATCATTTGGAAAAGTCTTGCTAATGTATAAAGGTGTCTTAGTTCTGGCGGGTGGTTTCCACAAAATGAGAATTATGCAGAAGATTCTACACAAGAGGAACGCCTGTTTGAGATTTCGTCAATGATTTTTCGATGCAAGGGTCATATCTGAAAGTTCTGCAGAAATGACAGGCATAACTATTGGCCCACGAGATAGTTTCAAATTAAACAGGGACATAATGTCAAGTAGCAAGATTTTCAAAATGTGCGTGCACTTCGGGAAGATGAAGCAAGAGAGGAAGTTTGTCCGGGTAAACTTTTTCAACTGTTCATGGAAACTTAGTTATTGCAGTTTGCACCGACTGTTTTCATGGAAACCATTAGGGGCTACTCTATGCCTTAACCCTTTATATATCTACTGTAACATCATAACCACTTACGCCTCATATCTTGTCAACATGGATATTCCACAATAGTATCAATAAAAGAGGCCCAAAGTGGCGGAAATTATCAATTTCCCGTACTTGTGACTTGCGCATATGGTGACGTCATCGACACGTGATAGTTTTTAACTGGTTGATTTTAGGAAATATGTTTCTAAGCATTTTTTGTTCAGTTTTTTATACTCTTCCGATTGATGTTGTTTGTTTTCAAATTTGAAGATTTTCATTTTTTGCTGAACGTTAGAATTTACGTCATCGATCACGTGACATCTAGGGGGAAATTTTTTTGGACACCCTTCAAAATTTCAAGGTATTAGTGCAAGGAAATGGAACGAGTGAAAAACATTCGGTTACCCTCTCCGCCAGTTTGTTAGGAAAAATTCCCTGTCTAGGGGTCATAGATTTTGTTACAAATGACTTACTTGATTTTTCCAACTATGTCATAGAAATTATTGGGAACACATCGATGGTGATCGGAACATATTTTGAAGTATATCTTGGTTATTTCAAGTCAAAGTCAATTTTTCTCAATGTTTTTATTTTTTTTCTTTTTCCAGGTAAAGGCTGATAGTTTTTATTTATTTTGCCTAATTTTTTATTTCAGATTTCACTTGGAAGCTCACAGTTATTTTGACAATTGACTACAGAAAGGTATTTTTGACTATTTAAAGCCAAGTCGAAACTCATCGAAAATACTTCTAATGGTGTCTTGGACGTAATTTCAAGCATCAGGTCGTTTCGAGTGCAAAAAGATTTTGCTAAATTTTCAGATTTTCTTTACTTTTTTATTTAATTCAAAAATATTTGATGATTTTGCTAAAAGTTATGATATTACTTTTTATAAAAAGATGAGCCGTCTAAAAAGTCCTTATTCTGTCAAGAAAGCCACACTTCTGCAAGAACTATATTGATTTTCTGTTTTTTCGATCATGTGTAAGTGCACTAATTGTTTTTGTAGAAGAAAAAGATTTCGATAAAATTTGATGGTTTTGCTAAGGCTTACTTTCCTTCATCAAAAAAGTCCATAAATTTTGAAAAAACACCTTCATATCAGATGAAATTTCAATTTGCATCCTTTCGGATCATATGCATATGAATTTACGGGTTCTTAAAAAAACATTAGAAAAATACTTGATGATTTTTCGAAGGTTTTAGCCTTAGCTTTTTATTAAAAAAACCGGCCGTCCAAAAAGTCCATATCTTTACAAAAATACAACCTTCACGCCACAACTAAATTCAATTTGTGTTAAATCTATTCATATCTATCCGAGTTCTCTAGAAAAGTTTCGAAATTATTTCAAAATTTTGCTTAAGGCTACAGTCTTACCTTTTTCTCAAAAAAACCAGCTGTCTCAAAAATCGTTATTTTTTAAAAACCACTTGATGACAGGACTAAATTAAATTTTTGTTTATTCTGATCTATATATATATATAAGTGAATGAACTAGTTTTTAGAAAAAAAAATTCAAAAAAAATTTGATGACTTTGCTAAGGCTATAGTCTTCCTTTTTCATGAAAATTTGACCTGTCCAGAAAGTCCAAATTGTTTCCAAAGTTAATCTTCACGCCACAACCAAACTCGATTTGTGTTTATTCTGATCATAAGTAGGTGAATTTTCTGGTGTTCATCATAAAAACATTTAAAAAATATTTGATAATTTTGCTAAAAGTTATTGTATTACTTTTTGTCAAAAATTGAGCCGTCTAAAAAGTCCTTATTTCGTCAAAAAACCACACCCCTGCAAGAACTATACAGATTTTCTGTTTTTCCCCGATTATGTGTAAGCGCATTAATTTTTGTAGAAGAAAACGATTTCGATGAAGTTTGATGGTTTTGCTTAGGCTAGAGCCTTACTTTTTTATCAAATCCCGACCTCTCAAAAAAGTTCACAATTTTTTTAAAAAACACCTTCACACAACATCTAAATTTAAATTGCATTTTTAGGATCATTTGCATATTAATTTTCTGGTCCTTTCAAAAATAGTTTCGAAAATATTTAATAATTTTGCTTAAGGCTATAGTCTTACCTTTTCTTCAAAAGAAAACAGCTGTGAAAATTTTTTTTTATTTTTCTTAAGTTGTATGGCCTTGTCTTTTTATATAAATTCAGCCGTCTAAAAAGTCCTTATTTTTCCAAGACAAACATCTTTCTGACCGAACAAAGTTGAATTTGTGTTGCTTCTAATCACATGTAAAGGAATTAATTGACTTTTAGATGAAAAAGATTTCGAAAAATTTGATGATTTTTCAAACGTTATAGCCTTATCTTTTGATAAAAAATGAGCTGTCTAAAAAATCATTTTTTCATCGAGGAAACACCCTCCTGCAAGAACCATATACATTTTCTATTTCTTTCGATCATATGTTAGCACATTAATTGTTTTTTCGAAAAATATTTTCGCCAAAATTTTATGATTTTGCTAAGCCTAACTTTGATGATTTTTTACCAAATTTTTACCCTCCCAAAAAGTCCATATTTTTGAAAAAAACACCTTCAAGCCACAACTAAATTCAATTTGTGTTCGTTTCATCACTTTTATGCTTGTGAGCACTGGATATCAAGGAATAATCAAGTCTTTAATTGTTGAGCAGGCTTGATCCTTATTGTTAAGGGCATTTATTCTTTCCATTTTTTCCTATTGAAAAAGTGCCATGACCCTCTCGTTGTTCTGATCAGTGGAAAAGAGCATCAAAATTCGCAATACGACTAAGGCTTGTGGGGCTCTTCACATCATTGAATAAAAAGTATTATATATTATTGTTAAATTAATCCAGAGTTTAATTCTTACTTTCCTCATGGCACTATTCCCCCTGAATTTTCTTCAACATAATACATATAAACTGCGTGTGTGAGTAGAATATGTGAGTACATATATTAATTTTATTTCGTCCTCCCAACAGGTCATGCTGAACATCCATCTGATACGAAATATCGTGAGCTGATATAATAACCATAATTACACACTATCAATTCAGTTAAAATAATAATTTTTCTTAGATATACTGATAGTTTGGTTCTAACAGTTTTCTACTTTATCCATTAATTGTTTTTGCAGCTTATTTCATTTTGTAATGTGTCAAAGTTTCAGATTTTAAATTTTCTGTATTTTTGCTCAACAAGTCCAATTTTACTCTGCATTGCAAATCATATTTTTTCTCGATCTATGAGGTTCTTAATAAATATCAAGAGATGTGTTGTGGAAGATAGTTTCAGAGAAAAAGATATGCTTCAAAAAACTGCCTAAACTACCTTTTTAGAAAAACAGATAACTTCTGCCGTGGCTTAATGTTATGACTTTTCGTCAATTTGAGTTGTCGTGGGGTTCTTTACCTTGTTCTCATTTCATGGTCAATTTATGCACCGTACATACTTATTACAGAACAGAATATTTGGACTATTAATAAAGAGTTTTCATAGCATTTCATTAGCAGGGTTGATTAGCTGTTTAAATTTCATCTGTATATTTAGCAGGTGCAAATTCCAATAAACATCGTTTATTCTTCTCATTTTATCTGTGGTTTGACTTATTACCGGGTTGCTTAAATATTTTGCAAATAAAGCCATGGTGTTCTTATAAAGTGTTTTCTTAAAAAAAGAGTGTCTATTTATGTTTCCGTTCCTCAGCGCGCTTAAAAAGCTCTGCATCAACATTTGCTTCCACAACCTGGTCTTTAAATCACAATAACTAAATTTCTTTTTACCAAATGCAAAAAAAATAATGTAGATTACCGTCCTATTGTTAAAATTTTTGCTCATATTTGCAATGTTTGCAATATTTGCAAGCTTAACCCTGTTTTCCTGAAGGAAATAGGATAGCAATGCATCCAGCGGGCTGAATAGAAATGGAAAAGGAACAAAAACGATCATATCAAACCAAATTCCTGTTTGAATACAAATTGATACGGCAAAATCATTTTATTGACCTAGAAAGGAAATAGAAATATTTATAAAAAGGATTTAATCTAAAAATACACAGGCAAAAAATAAATTCGGTTTTTAAAGAACTAGTGGCTTTCGTCTTGCATTTAAAAGCAACCCCAAAAATCTAAGACTTTTCTTCTGGTTTACCCATTTCACGGTACAGAAAATGAATCAATGGAAATTGTCCTGAATTCCATTGCGATTATTCACTGGGAAGAATGTCTTTGCATATATGAACGATAAGGGTAACTGTTTGGATAATCGTAAACATTTTGGTTGTTCGAAGCGTGGCTACTCTGGTGCATGTAGTTTGTATAATGGGGCAAAACAGAGGAAGACAACTTTGTCATGGGAAAATGTGTGCCGCCGCTTGGCATTGTGTTATCATGAGCATTTTCCCATTTCTGCTTCACCATGGATACAGGGTTTGAATTTGCATCAACCTCATCCCAGCTACTATTCGGCGAAGTATACGACCTTGAATAATGCAGCAAAGACATTGTTCTCGAGGGATATGACACAGAAGAGAGGTTGCCATGGTGTATACCCTCGTCTTTGACACTATGCCTTGGGGATTTGCTTGATTGTAATTTGGTTGCCACAGAATTTAAAGGTACTGGCTTTGAAGAGAAATTATGTGATTTATTCTGTTTTGTCTCCGACTGCTTCTTAGCCGTGACATCAACTATATTTGCTTCCTTTTTACTTTCATTTTCTCTGCTTAGGGATTCCGATTGTTCTTTCTTTTCTTCTTTTTTGACAACCTTTTCCTTGGTTTCCTCGTCAATATGATTTTGCGTCTCTTCCCTCAAAGATTCATCTTTGCTGCTATCTTTTTCGCTTCTATCTTGCAAGTCTGGTTTGCGTTCTTTCTCTACCTTCAACTTAGCATCTTTCCTTTCCTTCGCTCTCCGGTTTTTGAACCAAACCTGTCAGGTAAGAAGGCTTGTAATTCTGATATTATTAGAAATATTTATAAATACGGTTTACAGTAATTGTAATACTGCTGCAGAGGTTATAACGAAAATAGTCTCTCCGTAGGTACCCCTCTCGAATAAGCGCCTATTTAGAAAAATTGCTAATAAGCTCTTCCTCGAGTAAGTGCCCCCTCGAATATGGGACATGGATATCTCAGTCCAAATTGTGTGTAAAGTGTACACGAATGAAGGTTTTTACAAAGAAATTTCATGCAGTATCATGTGAAAATGAAGTTCAAAGCGTCCCATGGATAAAATCGCCTCTTGAATATACACCTTACTGAAAACAAAAAATTTGATATGGAGCACTTTGTCAAGGATCAACAGTAAACATAGTAACACTTTTTACTGCATTGCTTGAAAGCTATCGTCTCAGTCGTGCTGACGAGCTACAACATCATATACAAACACCAACTACCCTAGTACCCCGCTTATAAGCACGCCCCATTTAGAGGATCATGCGCTTATATCAGAATATAGGTGCAGTGCGCAGTTATATCAGAAAAACTATAAGTTGATCTTAATCTGAATGTTTTGCGAGAAAGATGAAAAAGCATGACCATCTATTTTCTTTTTGACAACGTTTACATGCTTCCTCGATTACTTTTTTTGCATTATCAATTTCTTTAAATTCTCCGTTGAGTATAAACTGGCATGATGATGAAGACAACCTCGACGAAGAACAGATTAATGAAGAATTAATTATCATTGAAAATGATTCGGATCTTGAGGAAGTTGATATTTAATAACTGTTAAAAAATCCAGATTCTACTGTTTAAACATTACTCATGGAATTTTATTGTTTAAAACTTTATTTTGTTCCATAGGTGCGTGGGCCAGTATCTGAATCGTTTTTTCGTACCCTGAAAACTGTAAAATCTTTAATTTAAACACGAGACAATATTTTGCGCTGGACTGGGTTTATTTTTTGTAAAAACCGTAGCCAAATATATGCCCTGTTATGAAAGAAAAAAATTCTTTATAGAAATGTTCCTACATTCTTTTTCAGTTTCAAACCATAGCTAGCATACCTGGAAACGAGCTTTTCTTTTTTGCATGAACTAATACAAACATCAAAATTCCTTGCACATTTAATCTGGGCGAAACTTCCCTTGTACCCTCGTTTACGCTTCTTCTTATTGTGTTCTTAATTTGACCAGTTTTCAGGTTCATGTATTCATAAAGCTGTTCGTGTAAAAAGAGGTGACATGAATAGTGCTGTTGGCTATTTATGTTGTACCAGACACCTAGCTGCGAGAACCGCCATTCAATAAAATTAATTAAATTAGTGAGAAAGAGTGACTAAATTTAAGGCGGGCATTCTATCCAATCAATTTACTGTGCATAATTTCATGTAAAAAAAGATTAATACTTTCAGCGTACGGTTTTGAGGTTGCTCTTGCGAATACACTTTCTCTAATTTGCAATCATATCGACAGTTTTCTTTGCAAATTTTGTCACGAATTTTGAAATTGAAACCGCACATAACACATGCACAATTTTTTCCTGATGTTGCCTTCCACAAAATTTTCCTTTCAGCCGAACAAGCGTCTTTCCATTCAGTCAAGAATGAACTCTTCCCGCCATAAAGACATTGATTGGTTTTAGTTGTATTCGGCCAAAGTAAATCAATAGAACACAAAACGTCTGAGAGTCAACCACAATAAATTGTGTGATAAAAATAACGATAAGAAATTAGAAAAGCCTCAAATGCTTGGCAAACGGCGACGATTAATGGTTATCCTAGAAGACAAGTTTAGCCACAAAATAACGGGAAAATAAAAACTCTCCAATATCTGTTGTGTTGTTTTAAAATAAAAGCTTTCATGGTTCATCTTACGTTATGATAAAAACACAAAACCAAATTTCAATCTTTTCATTATTGTTGAATTGTTCACTATTTTGCTCGTGATTTCTAAATGACAGCTTTCTACAGAGTCACAGTAGACGAGATTTTAGACACATGAAGAAGCTATATATTAATGCAAAAATTTATTAAACCTGATAAAATGATCATAACAGAGGTTCAAATACGTAAGTAGGTTTAATCTGATGAGTAATAGAACTTGCCTTTGAGTGTTTTTGCTATTACATAAGACTTTTAAACGATATTTCATGTGATCGTTTTTAAGTCAGTTTTGTTTATGACATGGGTGTACAAAGAAAAACTATTAAGTAACGTCTGGGTTTTTCTCAGATTAAAATGACTTGCATTCTGTAACTGATTAAGATACCCTAATTGTAACCCACAGTAGATGGACAAGTAAAAGTTTTAAGTTGGAGAAGTACCAAGAAAGTGACCAGCTATTGATTGGGTCTAAAAATACCAGAGCAAAAGGACGCAACATTATTAGAATTTTGGACTTTGACTGTCTAACACCTTAAAAATTAAAAATGTTCAAAGAGGCCAAATATTTATAGACACAGGCGAGGACATCTTTATTTAAGCAACATCCGGAAATTTCTTTTGGTTTCTAGTATTTTCCTTTTAATAGAGATGTGTAAAAGGGGCACACCGCCCCGCCTCCATCCCTTATCCTCCGTTTTTGTGTACGCTAGTCTGCAAATGTTGGTCTTTAGTTGATTGGCAGATCGACAATTTTTCCAAGTCAGTTAAATTAAATAGTTTGTAGATCGAAAGATCATAAAATAGATTTTTAGTTATCGAATGGGGTGTTCTGTTCTGAAGTATACAAAGAATGTTCTGAAGTAAAACAAAGTGAGCAAAAATAGGTTGCAAAGCATAAAAAAAGAAAAAAGAGGAAGAGATATCATATAGATATCAAAAGAGGAAGAAATAAAGAAAAATCATCATTGCGAAAACATTTGGAATTATTATCGAGGCAGTGGTATTTAAAAGTATTGTTCATGAGCTTTTGAACAAACTCTTTATTGCCCCAAGTTGGATTTTAAAAAAAAATTGACCTGGTTAACTTTGTTTTTTGTATCCTTAAAAATCTTGTTGGAAAGGTAGCATTTTTGTAAAATTTTTAAAATGATGACCAACATATATGCATTTCTTCTTTGCCCGAACTAAATGTTTCGTCTTACCTTGACTCTATTCTAAACGCACGTGGCTACAACATGATTCATCGTACGATTGAATTAAAAAGGTTTACAAGATACTCGGACTCTATTTATTGTGGGTTTTAATTGTAAATTAACTATCAACTACCGTCAACTCGGGTCTAAAAGGGGTTAGTAAACGGCCTGACTTTCAGACCTATCCCTGTCACGACTATTTGCTCGAATAAGGAAGAAGGAGAATCCAGTGGGAATCATAAAACGTCCGACTTAGCGAAAGCCGGAGTTATCCAGGAAACGAAATAACGGGATTTAACTTCACTTGCAGAAGTAAGGTGATATTTCATACCTGCACTCGTGATTCGGGTAGGTTTATCTTGATTGCAATCTCTTCCCTCATAAACACATCAGGGTACTTGGTTTTAACATAGAGATCTTCAAGAATCTCTAATTGTGCTCTCGTAAATGTTGTTCGTTCCCGCCGTTGCTTGCGTGGCGGTCCTATAAAAAATATTAATGTTGACTTTACAACAGAAAAAGTCAAAATATTCATTGCTTTCAAAATATTCAAAATATGTCAAATATCCATCAGAAAGGAAAGAAATCGTCATTCGAGAAGTCTGTTTAGCCGTAAAAGACCTTCCTAAACACAGTAAATGATTTGCTATGGAATCAGAGAAAAGCAAGGAGAATCAATAGAACATGTTTTACGGAACGAGAGGTTGAAATATATCATTATGGCAGGGAATAATAAAGGCATGAAGACGAAGACAGAGGCAAATGATGCTATGATGAAAGTGTTCTATGTACAAGAGATCGCAGAATTTGGAAGCCCATGACAACCTACGCCTTCAGAGACAGGGGGCGAAGACTAAACAAACTAATGGGAAAAAAAAGACCATTGATAATTGATATGAAATTCCAAGAATAAATTTATAAGGGATAGCTTAAGAAAACGCAAATAACTTATTGATATTGGATAAATAGATAATGAATAACTTAACATCAACCCGAGTAAAACCTTTGTTGTGAATTCGTGAAAAAGTCAGCCAATATGTAGCAGAATCAATGTATAAGGCAATGCTGCTTATTGTTGTACTGCTAGCCACTACAACTTTCCTTACCCAAAGAAATAGTAAAAAAGGTACAACATTTTTATGATAGAGCTGCCTGGATTGTCAACCCAAGAGCAAAAATAAAATCATGGGACAGTGTTGAAAAAATACAAAAACAAAGGTGGCAATCGAAGTGTTCAGATCCTTACAACCCGAGGTTGTGAGTGGTTATTTAAAAAGATTCCAGCACGAAAAAAGGCAATGGTTCCTGTGTTGTCTTGCCGAAAATGCGCACTGAAACTTCCGAAAACTCACTTGTCTATCAGGAAGCCCGCATTTTCATTAGTCTTTTTAGTTTCATCATTTTAGAAAATTTTATATAGATTTTGATTATTACACTTCGAATTTTTTCATCGGTTGTAAATAAAACCTTTTTTATGTTACCTTTATCTGTATATAGATTTTGATGAAAAACGCTTTGAATTTAAAAAACTTCAGTTGTAAATAATACTTTTTCCTTTTATTTAATTTTTACCTTTTCTAGCGCAACAGTTGTAATAAAGTAGGGATACAGGTACTTGAATGATGAAAGATGGTATTACATCTGACCAAGTCAAATTGTTAAATTATTAGTTATTATTATTATTATTATTAACATTATTATTATTATTATTATCGGTTTAAGTCTGTTTCATTTGTCAATCTTTCCATCAGTTCACTTGGTATTTTTGGCAACTCCCTCAGCTCATTCATCGACATGTGTGATTCTTTGTCCATTGATCATCAACAGAAACGCTATCTCATCTCCAAACTTTCAAGCATCTTCATTCGCATCACATACTATATATTCTGCTGTAGGAACAAAACTTGGACTAATTCAGAGCTACTCCTCTTTTAAATTTTTTTTCTTTTCTCATTACTACGATTGTAATAGTTTTTATTTTGTAAACACAGGCTAGCCAGTTACAAATTACCTTGTAATAATGAGATTTGTAATTGTAGTTTTAACTGGAATTCAAAATTAAAAGTTGACCGCTTATGCCACGTTTTAGTAATACTATATGTGATACAACTAGCACCTCACATCAGGCAAGATCGTTGGCTTTTTTGGTACAGACGTCTAGTGAGAGCAGATAAGCCAATCAACGGAAACGATTTCCATGTTTATATGCAAGCCTCAATTGCATGTCTGATAGAATAAATGGTTAGAGAAAAGAACATTAAATCCGGAGCTTTGAGTTAATACGATATGTTTGAAGCTGTGGAATTAATATCAGGTTTAATCCTTAGCTAGCGAAAGAATCATTTTATTAAAAGATTAAAATGTAACCTGAAAATTGGAAGAGATGTCATCGAATATGGATGCTCCACCCACATAGAAAATATGGCAATATGGGGAAAATATGGAAGAACAATGTAACTGAGACAGGGAGAGCAAATCATAAAATGTTCGTGATAATACAATGTGATTGGATTGGTGGTTTTCTTTCAACTTACACAATAGAGTAAGCTAGATATTTTGCCAAATTTGAAGCCACGACACAAAAATTATTTCTGACAAGACAAAACGAATAACTGTCTGTAAAAAGTGTGCAAAGTAACCTTAAAGATCATTCTCTTATCTGTTTGCAGTACAGAAATGCTAATGATCAGTAGCCGAGATACTGAGCTTTGAAGACCTCGTCATGACATCATGGAAATCATTCTATAACCAACGAACGTTTTTATAATTTAGAACAAGCCGTAATCAACATTCTGGAAAGTGAAGACGACTAACACGCCTAAGTTTTTTTATCTAAACGATCTAACCACAAACAAAATATGTGAAGTTGATTTTAACCTTCAATTTCCTTTATAAGGATAAAGTAATTTTAATTTCAAGTGAAAGTAGTGTTTTAGAAAAAAATTAAAAAACCAATGTTTCCTGGAAAAAAAATAGAAAAAACCCTTATCAGGTCTGTCTGACTTTGGTTTTTAAGTTATCAGATTACGTTGTCTGTTGGGTATTTCGGTTTTTGCAGTTAAAATGAACAAAAACAAAAAATATTCGCTCCCAGGAATATCTTAATTCGTGCTGTTTCACAGGTCATCCTTCTCACTGATAACATCATCAAATATTTGAATTCTGCAGAGATGGAAATATGTCGAAGAAAATGTGTTATACAAATATGTAACCAAATCAATACGGTGAGATTTTAACATTCCATTAGACTGCGAAATGGCATGTCATATATTTCAGAGAAGTTCAAGCCAAGCGTCTTCCGGAATTATCTGAATGGATCCCGGATGACGTAAAAAGAATTTGTCTGAATCAAGTCATAGGTGACGATGTTGAATTTGTTACATCGTTTCCCAAATGAAAAGATTACTGTCAGATAAAAAAACGTTAAGTTTATTTCATTCACAGAAATATATAATTTCCGATATTGATTCAAGGATTATCGTTAAGTATTTCCTAGCAAACTAAAGTTTTTGTGTGCAAATAATTTTCAAAATTCTCTGCCAAACCAAGAAATCATTCTCAGGAAAAATATGTATGTGATGTGAGTTTGAAACTATTTTAGATTGTTAACTGATAACCAAAAATGGAACCTTTGTTTTAAAATATTGCAATAGAGAGGAGAGGGACACAACAAATATTGCAACAAGCCAAACGTTACGTAAAAGGGCGAAGAGAAGAAGTACTTTGGTTCGTTGCAAAACTTTTTCATTGTAAAATGAAAAATCTGGAAGCAGTCTGGTTAGGCACCTGCTTACTGGGAACATATGATTCTTTCTGTTTGATTTGTTAAGAAATAAATTTGACGAAGCTTCCAATAGAGTACACAAAACAGAAAGTAATACTTTGAAAATAACCCTAATTTGATTTTTTCTTAGATGGCTTAAAATTTTCTTGATACTTTAAAGAAAACACAATTCATGGAAATTGTGTGCTGTAAAAACAAAAGCTCTAGAGACAAAAATAGAATTTGGCTACTCAATAGAAAATCTGGCCTTATTAAGAAGTTTTGGGTGAAAATATGTCTGTAAAATCTTAGAAACAATAGAATCCGACGGAAAATTGATTAATGCCAGTAAGAAAAAGTAAACTGAATTGAAAACCAAAAACGAGCTTGTATTTCTGAAACAGATTTGGATGATTTTTAATCTCCATGGAACTTTGTCTAGAAAATCAAAGTGGCAGAAGCTTTCTTTCAACTGGGTAAAAATTATAATCATTACTCGACATGTGACTACAGTGAGACAAAATGTAAACCATTCCAATTTAAGAAGGATGATTACTTTATGTGATAAAGTGCCTGGTAAAAGACGTTTAAAGGATAAAATAAAGAGAAGCAAGTTAAAACATTTGCTTATAAATTTTGAGACAAGCAAGCCTATCTATAACTTGGAGAAAAAATTGAACATAATCGTATAGTTTAGTGGCGTCATACCAATACTAGTATCATTTGCTATAACAAATAACAAGGAATAACCATTCATCCTATAATTGTCTCTTTGTCTTTAACATGTCTTGTTGTCTGATAACCAACCCCGATCCCCTCGGGGAACAGATTTAAAAGTTGGTCTACAAAATAACAATATGGACTGGAGTTTGCTCGGTTTTTAGTCGTGCTAGCAAAGAAAATCATAATGAACTACGGACAGCCTGAAGTTACTTGGGAACAAAGTGGCTTCTGTGGTACACAGCAGAAGTTTATTTAGGGAATACAGAAAAGTATTCCAAGCCGCATTTGGCCGAATGAACTTGCATGTAACACAGAAATTTCCGCAGTTGGCCACTGTGGGTTGTTGGTGTCCGGAAATAATTTCACTAGGTTAAAAGCCATTTCCAAACCACTTTATAATTACAGAATAACTCGAGGGCTCAGAACCCAGAAGAATAACAAATCAATAGTGCTTACGCAGTTTTATGACTCTTTTCCCATTAGAAAAATTCCAAAATGATGGTTAAGATACAACAATACCGATAAATACATGCCCTAAGGGAATAATTATATACCAACCAATCTACCCTTGTTTTTCCGAGTTGGCTTTTCTCTGTACCTAGCGGTTTCTTTTGGCAACCGGTGTTCGACATTTTGCTTGTTTTATTGCAAGAAAATTTCATTTTATCTCATATGGCGCCCCATCAGAATGCGTCTTCTTCAACTTGTCTCTTGAGCAGTATCTCGTGCTTCGCTATGAGGTAAATCTCATGACATACAGAATCATGGGTTGAACATCTTTGTATTCGACCCAGACGGATCCATATTAAACAAACATATATTAATTTTCGTTTCATTTTACCTGAAAGGGAGGACAGTGTGAGGGTTTTCAAAGCGAGGCTACTTAAACTAGGTCGTATATGCTTGAAGAATGCTGCCAACAAAAACTACGTTTAGAAACCCACGAGGTTGTCACAACACATACATTTCCCATCAAAAAAGTGAACTTGCAAGCTGC